AACAGGTGGCATGGTAGTTAAGGCACTGGACTCCCACACGGCTGTCTGCAGTTCAAATCCTAGATCTCATAGCTTGAAACTCATTCCAGGTACATGTGCATGCCTACCTGAAATTCCAGGAGGACAATGGAAGAAAAGAGACTGCAGAGTGGCCATCCTCCCTGAGGGTACTGGAGGGTGATTTCTCACTTTTCCTCTCTCTGCCTCTCTCCAGCAAGCACATGCACCTCATGGCAAAAATAAATAAATAAATAAAATTAGCCCGTTAGTCATCCTTAGACTGGGAAGAACAGTAAGTGTGATTACCACTGAAAGCTCACTTCTCAGGTTCTCTAAATGTGGCTTTAATGTGCAACAGCCAAAGGGCATTTCTACCCCAAATAGCTTCACAACTAAACAATTACATTCCTGAAATGATGTCTAGGGAATTCAATTTTCTTGAATGACATATGTAAGGGGAAACTAAACGTCTAGCTAGAAAGACAACTTGTCTAATTTTTTCTTAAAAAAACTTTAATTTTTCTGGAAATAGAAATAGCTAAGTTAAATATTTATAATCCAGGTGAAAGATTTGCTTAGTGATTACTGAACTAAAATATCACTGTGCTGAAAACAGAAGTGAATCTTGAGTAAAAAGATATAAAATTTCATTTATTATTTGTCAAAAGAGAAAGTGCAATCATTAACCATAGTGATTAACTGGAAACGTAAAAAATAATGGTTCTAGTGCTTTACTCTGGATATATGCAATGTAATTATGACTCCTGTGAATTTCAGTAAAGCATAGTTTAACAGTGCAGCAAGGGTGTCATTAAAATGTGGGTATTAACTTTCCAATAATTTCTAGAAATTGAAATGGAATCTCTTTGGCAATAACATGACACTTTGACACCAATGAAAATATTTTATGTAGTTATGTAAGTGATAAAAATAAATGTTTTATAAAAATTTATCCAGAAGGACTTATAACTAGGAAAAACAATCATAATTAACAAGATTTCATGAAGTGTGCCATAGCCAAAGATAACTTTTAGACCAGCTGAAGGTGATGAGGTCATTTCTCGTTCTAAGTTCATAAGATCTGACCACCTGTAGTGGCTTTTTTAAAAGCGCTTAGAAGAATTAATTTTCCAAATATGAACCAGCTAAAAGAGTCTCCCTCTTTTACGTGACTTTCTGTTGTGCCAAAGTAATGGAATCCAATGCACACTTCAGCTTTTTAAACAGCTGCTCCTAGGGTGCAGGAGAAAATGTGTAAACTCTACCAGCACCAGCTGGAAAAAAGGACACAAATCCGCTATTTCTGAATGTATTATAGGGCCTAGGTTTTGTTTCCAGGATAGAATGTATCCAAAGCAGAAATTTAAGAGAAGGGCTGAGAAATTATCCAGTGGGTAAGGAAACATCTTGACAATTCAATTGGCTGATAAAAACATAATCCTACCGGCAGGTAGCCAGGCCTCTTGCCTTGATAGTTGTGCAGAGTTTACCACAATATCTCTCTGCCTCTCTTTGTCACTTTCTTTCTAATTTTTATTATTTTTATTAATTTTTGAAAGCTTTTTTTGCTCTAGGGCTCATACACTCACTGTAGAGACAGAGACAGAGACAGGAAGTGAGCAATCACCCCACCCCCACCCCGGGGGGGATGGCCATACTGCAATCCCTTTTCCTCCATTCTCTTCTTGGTATTTTGGGCATGCACACACACACACCTGGTGTGAGTTTCAAGCCACCCGGTCTGCTCCTGGTCCAGTATTTGGTTGTATGTCACAACATGGCCAACAGAAACAGGAAGGAAAGTGGACACTTGCAGACAGAGCAGTCAGTGGTTAGCCATCTGACCACTGATGCCAAAAATCCTGAGAGAAGAATGGAGGAGAAGAGATTGCAGCATGGCCATCTCCCTTGGGGGTGATTTCTCACTTTCCCTCTCTGTCTCTCTCTTCCTCTTTCTACAGACTACACACACTTGGATGCAAACTAAAAACGAATAAATAAGTAAAACTGCCTTTACTAGAACAACAAAATAGTAGAAATAACCTTTACTATAGCATGCTACTTGATTCTGTTGTCCCTGAGAAAAAATTCTCACTTTCCAAAACTGTCCAAACTCACCAACTTGAGTGGAGAACATAGACTAGAGCACTAGATATGAGTGTTGGACCAGAGGCCCTCCTCAAGGGGGACAGAAAACTACTCTTTTCTAAGAGAAGCTACTAGTTTATTATGTGTGACAACACAACATTTCTTCTTCACTGAAGGCTGACTGTAGTGTCCATATTGCCTTTAAAAACAGGCCAACCTCAGCTACAAAGATGAACATACACCAGGAATTAGATGTCTGAAATAAACACCATGAAAGAGAGATATACAACTTAATGAACAAAGGAAACTCTACCAAACAAATAAGCATGTATACAATGAACAAATGGAAACTTTGAAAATAGTATAATTAAAAACCTCAGAGGTTCCCAGCCTAGTTGATAAAATCCATAGTGAACTGCTGTGCTGGAAGCCAAGTGGCCAACTGCGGATTTATATGTCTGGGTCAGTCTGAAAAAATGCCATGTATATTCATGGGTACCCAAGATCCTGATGAGCCAGAGGGCTGGGAAAAGGGGAACACAGTGTAACAAGACCCCATCAAGGGTGCTTTTTCTCTCACATGTGCACACACAAAGTGTGTACATGCATGCTCTTGATCGTGAATACAAAAATGCCTAAAATACCACCTAAAAATACCTGTCTTATCATCTGCGAAAATGGCCATTGTTCTCTTCCTTGAACACTTAAGATTTATTTTCTAGATTAGCATTTAGATTTGTTTGATGGCGGCTTGCTTTCTCACTTTCTCTCCTCTCTCTCTTGATCGTGAATATAAAAGTACCTAAGAGGGCTATGCTCTTGATCATGAATATAAAAATACATAAGATGGTTATAAATAGCTATGGCATACATAAAACAGGAGATTATTATTTTTAAAACATGTAAGAAAATAATGTGTTCACCAAATAAAAATCCCAGTAAATAAGCCAAAAAGTAGAATATATTCTGCTGAAGGAAGGACATGCTATAGCTGCAAGCCTAAATTTCCCTCATAATGACAGAGAGAGTATAGGGATCCATGGTGCACCAACCAAATCCCCCTTCAGGGACTAAGGCACTCATTCCACACCCTGCTGATGGCTGACAGACAAGTCCTGGCCAAATCCTTTAGGAACTGCTCTCAGGAAAGAAAGCTGCATTGCCCTTGGGAACATCTCCACCTAAAGGCACACCCGCTCATTTGCTTGGATTTAGCACAATGCGAAGGGTGGTCCCAGCTCAGGAACTTTAGGGGGTAAAGGAAAGGGCAGGTGTTAGCTGAGGGCTTCTTTGCCATCCTATCTAGGCTCAACTTCTTCCTCTGTGCTGCCCTGCTTCTCTCATCCTCATCTGTGTGCAGCTGTCCATCTCAGCCTGCTTGCGGGTGGCCCAGTCTAAGGTTGGTAGAAAGAACAAAAATTAAAAGTTGGGAAGACACGTAGATGCCTATCTACCTGACTGGATTTTTCAGTAAACAAGAATCAAGACTGCAGGGATGTAAAAGTTAAAGCAAAATATCAAAGTAGATTTCCAAAAGTTGATGATACTGACCAGATTGAAAGGACCCACCCCGCGATTAACAAGGTGAAAAGAAAAATAAATAATACAACACATATTGTATTAGTCAGGGTTTTCAGTCAAATAGAACCAATAGGATGTGTATATAGAAGGAAAGAGATTTTTTTTAGGTTCCAAGATCTGCAGGGTAGGCCAGAAACTACAGATTCAGGAAGAACGAATGTTGTAGTTCAAATCTAAATGCCATCAGCGGCAGAATTTCCTCTTGCTCAGAGAAAGTCTTTCATTCTACTGGGACCCTGAATTGATCGGAAAGGGCTACTGACACTACAGAGAGTGATTTGCTTTAAAGTTCACTAATTTAAATGTTAATCTCATCCTAAACTCTCACAGAAACATTCCATGAGCGCATGCGCACGCACACACACACGCACACACACACACACACACACATGCACATATGCATATATACATACATATAAACCTTCGACTTTGAGACTTTCAGAAGACCAAAATTAAACACTTCCAAGGTCAAAAAGAATTTACCCACAAAGAATTAAGATCGAATTAGCATTACACCTAATCAAGAACACAGGATGTTAGAGAGACACATTATTATTCCTTTCTTTATAAGTTTATTTTATATGCTTTCTTTTCTTTAATCCTTATTTTATAAACTTTCACGTAATACTTTTTATAAGCTTGCTATAGGACACAGGCGATCTTTGGAAAGAGACAGGGAGATAGGGAAAGTGATAAAGCACTCTCCAGGGGGTTAAGCACTTCAAAGTCCCTTCTCTGCTCTCCTCTCAGGATTTTTGGGCATGCATCCAGGATTTTTTCAAGCTGTCAGATCTAAGACTCACCATGCAGTAGGCTTTATAGGATCCAGCCACCTTAACCACTATGCCACTTGGCTGGCTCAAGTTGTTCTTTTTTAATAGCTTTTAAAATGTTTTCATTAAAAATGAAGACAAGTGTATACATTAGCCTAGGCCTATATAGGGTTAAGATCTTCAATACCACTGGTTTCTACCCTCACATCCTTTTAGGACTAGATTAGCATTCCAAATTCAGCAGTGCATTAAAAGGAAAATTAAGTCATCGTACTTTAGTAAAGATTATAAAAAGAGTGCATTCATGATTCAATACCAGAAAGGCAGTTTTTGTAATACTACAGTAAAGAATTAAATAGACAAAAAAAAATGGTAAAATTCTGTTATCATTATATATATTTTTCAAATCCTTGCCATCTAGGAATAGAAGAAATTTCCAAATGTCATCCGAATGAAGAAATATTTGTCTCAGTCAAAAAACAATTGAGGACGCTATCCATAATCCATAAAACAAATGTAAATGCTAACCCAGAAAATAAATCTAAGTGTTCAAGGAGAACAATGACCCTTCTCGCGGATGGTAAGACAGTCTACTTAGAAACTCCAGGGTTACCCACCAGCCAACCGAATTCAGATTCAGGCCGGCGCCCCGCCCCACAGAGCCCAGCCGCTCTCGCAGGTCCGCGCCGGAGCGAGTGCGCATGCGTACTACCGGGCTTGCCCGTGGGACGCAGACGGAAAGATGGCGGCTCCCAGTTGCCCCACTCCACTATACGGCCATGTGGGCCGCGGTGCCTTCAGCGACGTGTATGAGCCCGCGGAAGACACGTTCCTGCTCCTGGACGCGCTCGAGGTGGCGGCGCCGGAGCTGGCTGGGTGCGAGGAGGGCAAAGGTCCTGGCGGGATAGGGCTCGGGTCCTGAGCAGGGAAGGCGGAGAGTAGGCTGTGACCGGCCTCTTGCCCGGCCATGGACACCAGAATGCCTTACTCGAGAATAACCCGGAGATGGGCGTGGTTAACGTGCATAGGAGCTGCCTGCTGTGGCCCAGGGGTATTGATGGCTCTGCGGTCTTGACCTCCGTGCTTCTTAACCGAGTCATGATGATCTTTTCCTTTCAGCAGTTAATGTGAAAGTGCCCCCAAGAGTAGTGGTAGTGTAACGTATTTGGGAACAAGATGTTGCGGAACATTTCACTTTTTTTAAAGTAAAGATTAAAAGTCATACGGCATTATTTGATTTGCTCGGTATGTTAAAAACACTCTCCAACAACGGAAGGGCACAGTAGTGAAAGGTTGTAAGACAATGGAGTGGGGAAGTATTTGTAAAGCCACTAGGTAACATATTCTGCAGACAGCCGTCAGCCACATAAGGCTGTTGAGCACTTAAAGTGTGGCTAGTGAAACTGGAACTCATTTTGCTTTTTTAGTTTTTAAAAAATGTAGTTACATGCAGCTCGCAGCCTGTAGAATCTGTCCTAGCACCTCACAACTACTAAAACTGATTGGTTGAAATACTCTTTAAGTTCTAAATTAATAGCATGAAAAAAAGAATACCTATATTGTAATTTTTTTAATGTGAGAAATTTGGGTCACATTTATTTAAAGATTTAAATAAAGATTTAGATTCAAACTTTTTTTTTGATAAAGATGAAAGAGTTGTCAGATTCCAGAGATCTATATTATGATTATTATTCGTTTTAAACTTGGTCATATTTTTTATGTATGAAATGCCCCAGCTTGTATTAAACTAATATATTTTTTTTTGGAGAGGTTTTTGCTATAGGGCTCGTGCGCTTCCCAGAAACAGAGAGATAGAAAGCGAGAAATCACCCCCCAGGGGGATGGCTATACCGCAGTCCCTTCTCCTCCATTCTCCTCTTGGGATCTTGGGCATGCACACACACATACCTGGCGTGAGTTTAAGCCCCCGGGTCTGGGACTTGAACCGCAGTGGGCTACATGAGAGTCCAGCGACATAGCCATTATGCTAACTGCTGGTCCCTTAAACTAATTTTTCATTGTAGACAATGGAACTTTTGGTTTTATTATATTATAGAGTGGAACAGTACTATTTTATAACTTGTCTCTTATTCTCAAGATATCCCTATAAGATGAACAAACACAAATTGTATTACAAAGAATGCTGCTAAAATAACTGATTTTGTTATATAAAGTCTTGGCCTTTATAAGGCCACAAACCTTATGGCCTAATCAACATTGTCATGTGTGAACTGGTTCCAAAAGTTAAAAACCCCTACAGGTTGTTGTTACCCCTAGGGAGGTAAGTACTAGAAAGTCTCCAAATGCCATCAGACCAACTTTTTGTTTTTAGTTTTTCCTCTCCAGGGTGTGTGTTTGATGCAGTAAGACAAAAAGGGAAAGTGAGAAATCACCCCCCAGGTGGATGGCAATGCCACAATCCCTCCTCCATTCTCTTCTTGGGATAAAGACACGCAGGCACACGTGCCTGGTATGATTTTCAAGCTGTGATTTTCTGCAATTTGTCAGGAGCTCAAACTGCGAGGTTGGCTATGTGGATCCAGAACCTTAACCTTCATGCCACCGCTAACCCAGATCAATCATTTTTTTTTTCTAGAGAAAGATTTTTGCTATAGGGAGTGTGCACTTACTAGAGAGATGGAGAGAGATCACCCCCAGTGGAGATGGCCATGCTGCAATCCCCTCTCCTGAGATTTTGGGTGTGCACACACACACACACACACACCCAGTTTGATTTTCAGGCCACCAGGTCTGGTACCCAAACCGTGGTTGGCCATGTGGGAGTCCAGCAATGTAACCATTATACTATCTGCTAGTCCCAGACCAATCATTTTAATAGGGATAACTAGTGCTTTTGATGTATGTATAAGATTATAGGTGTAATCTTATACAGCAGATGGTGTAAAGATTATATCATTAGATTCCCATGTAGTAGACCATGGTTTGAGTGTGTGTGCGTGCATGCCCAAGGTTCCGAGAGGAGAACAGAGGAGAAGGGATTGCGGCGTGGCCATCCCCCTGGGCCGTGATTTTTTGCTTTCTGTCTTTTGCTCTCTGTCTCTCCACCCGAGTACATGCCCTATAGCAAAATTTCTATTAAAAGATTATAGGTAAAGAAATAATTGGAAGGTAAAATACAGTAGAGCAAAGATTTTATTCAGAATTATAAGATTATTGCTAACATTTTAAGATGAGCTGCTCAGATATTTTCCCAGTTTAGCGTACAGTTATATAGTTGCCTTAAATCTGTTGTCAGTAGAATGTTGGATTTATGAAGGTTAGAAAATTAAAAATGATAAGCTGCTTTCATAAATAAATGTTATACTACTATTAACCTTATTTTAGGAAATGTACTAGGAGCTCCTGTGGGAAGGGAATACGCACCCCCATAGAGAATGGTCACTTTGCAACCCAGTTTAGCGTACAGTTATATAGTTGCCTTAAATCTGTTGTCAGTAGAATGTTGGATTTATGAAGGTTAGAAAATTAAAAATGATAAGCTGCTTTCATAAATAAATGTTATACTACTATTAACCTTATTTTAGGAAATGTACTAGGAGCTCCTGTGGGAAGGGAATACGCACCCCCATAGAGAATGGTCACTTTGCAATCCCTTCTCTTTTTTTTTTTTTTTTAATATTTGCCAGAGGGTATGAGACACGGAGAAAGAAAGTGAGAAGGCACCCCCATAGAGAATGGTCACTTTGCAGTCCCTTCTCCATTTTTCCCCTTCATTCAGGATTTTGGGTATGTACACATAGGTTCCCAGTAGATTTCTCAAGTCACCAGGTTTGTGACTTGAACCATGCAGTTGGCAATGTGAGATCCTGCCACCTTACCATGCCATAGGTTGGCCCATCATATACTATTCTATGAACTTAAAATATATCATAAATCCAAAATACTAGCAATTTGGAGTCATGTAATACTGAAAAGCACAAATCAGTTGTCAGATTATAAATTTATATTTGCAGGTCAGTGATGGCATTATAAGTAGCAGGAGAGTTATTTTCTGTGAAGTACATTTAAACACTACTGTATTAATGTGTATTTTGTTGTTTATTCAGAGTGGAAATATGCCTGGAAGTTGGGTCAGGGTCTGGTGTGGTATCTGCATTCCTAGCCTCTGTAATAGGTCCTCAGGCTTTGTACATGTAAGTATACCATACTCATCCAGATTTTCCACTGAGAGATTCACTAGGAGTATGATTTCTTAAATAAAATCTTTTTTGTTGTTTTTTCTTTAGTTTTGCTATATGGCATATGCACTTGCCAGGAGAGAGAGAGAGAGGGAACGGTCATGCCACAACCCCTTCTCCATTCTCTTCTTGGGATCTTGGGCACACATGCATATGAGCTAGGCGTGTATTTCAAGTCTTGAGTCCAAAACTTGATCCACACAGTTGGCTTTCTGGGATCTAGCATCCAGCCTCCACATCATTTGCTCTTCCCAATGAAATCATTTTTGTAACTAGACATGTGTCTCAAAGTGTTTATTTAAATATAGTAAGGACCTAGATTGCAAATTTTGCTTCCCTAAAAATTAAAACTTCATGTTTAAAATTATGTTGAATAGTTGTTGAAACAGCATAAATTTAGATAATCTCTAAATTAGAATCTCTTGGATAATTTGATTATCAGGAAACAATTGAAAGTTAATTTTTATCGAAAATTTGAGAATATGTAAAAGTATATAAAGAAAATAAAAATCAATAAATATTATCACATACGGTCCCAATTTGTTTACTTCAGTTTTTGTTTTTAATTTCCTGTTTTTCATTTAATGTATCATGAGCATTTTCCTGTTTCCTTTTAAATGTAATTTTTGGTGATTGCATAGTAATTCTTCATTAGAGGTATCAAAATTCATTATGTTCCTTCAGATGTATGTGTAAACTCTTGGGACATTATATCAATGTAACAGTCTTTTTCACAAATATAGCATGTTCATTCTCTTTTTGCCACTATTAAAGCATCTCATTTTTTATTTTTTTTTTGGGGGAGGTTTATGCTACAGGGCACATGCACTCGCCAGAAAGACAGACAGAAAGACAGAAAGCGAGAAATCCCCCCCCCAAGGGGGATGGCCACACCACCGTCCCTTCTCCTCCATTCTCCTCTTAGGATCTTGGGTGTGCATGCTGGGCATGCACGCACATGTACCCAGCGTGAGTTTAAGCCACTGGGTGCAGGACTTGAACCGCAGTCAACTACGGGGGAGTCCAGCAACACAGCCATTACTCCAACTGCTGGTCCCCTGATTTTTAAATGTTTTAAGTATTCTATTTTTTAAGTCTATTTTACATAGGATGAAATATTCTTGAATTTCTCAGTAACAGATTATCGTCTTGGACATAGGATACAGTATTCTTCCTTTTCTGTTTATAGGTGTACTGATATCAACCCCAAGGCAGCAGCTTGTACCCTGGAGACAGCACGCTGCAACAAAGTCTATATTCAACCAGTAGTTACAGATTTGGTGAGTTGTCACTCCTTATTCAATAATGATCAATTTCCTTCAGACAAGTTATATACAAGATGTTTTAGGTCAAAGAAACCTGAGTAGTTCATTTGAGACCCACTCAACAGTATACCCTATATAAAGCAAAGTTTTTTTTTTTTCTAGAGAGATTTTTGCTATATGGCACATGAGCTCACCGGAGAGACAGAATAAACAGAAAGCAAGAAATCACACACACACACACACACCCCCGCCCCTGGGAGGTGGTGGGATGGCTACACCACAATCCCATCTCCATTTTCCTCCTGGGATCTTGGGCATGCATGCACACACGACCAACGTGAGTTTTAAGTTGCTGAGTCCGGGACTTGAAACGTGGTCAACTACATGAGAGTCCAGTGGCTTAACCATTACACCATCCACCAGTCCCAGCAAATTCTTTGTCTTATTTTAAGTTTGTTTATTTTATGAGAGAGAAAGAGATGGTAACTCTCAACAAGTTCTCACCACACTGCCATCCCTCCACCCCAGCTCTCCAGCCAGCTAGGCACACATGCCCAGAGTGTTCAGATAAACCTAGCCTTCGACTGGGCTCCAAGAGTGCAGAGCAGTGACATACCACCTCAGCTGTCACAGCTGGACCAAAGTAAATTCTTGACTGATATCCATCTTCTCCTTAATTCAGAGGGGGTTTATATTGACTTGTATAGGTCAAGTATCTATCTCCTAGATCGAAATGATAGTTAACCCAATTCAAACTGACTTAAATGTAAAAAGTTGATGATTTCAGGTATAGCTGGCTCTAGGAACTCAATGATGTTACAAGTAGGCATCTTTTTCTTAGCTCTGAACTTCTCTCTGGAGGCACTGTTCCTAGGCTGTCTTTCATGATAGCAGGATATTTCTAAGTCTATATCTTATTTCTCAGCAACTCTCCAAGAAACCCTTTTAATTAAGATATTCTACCAAAAGCCCCCTAATGAGTATCATTTGCATCAACTTGGGTTATGTCCCCATCTCTCAGTCTCTCACTGTGGCCAGTTGGAGTAAGGATATGATTGGCTTTGACTGGATCATTGTCCCAACTGAAGCCACTTGGATTAAGAGTGACAGGAGGTAGAACTTCTCCAGCAAAGTCAAGGAAAAGTAATCAGAAAAAGTGGGAAATAGGTCCTGGGCAGAAAAAACAACAACAACAAATGACAACTACAGAATGATAATTTTAAGTTAACATTATGCGTTTTTGTTATTTTTGTTTTGCTTCTTTTATGATGTGCAACTTGCCAGAGATAGACAAAAAAGTGAGAAAGCACCCACCAAGAGGGATGGCCCCACCACAGTCTTCTTTTCCTGCATTCTCCCGTCAAGATTTTAGGCACACACATGTGGCTGGCAGGTTTTTTTTTTTTTCAGACTGTGAAGTCCGGGACTCAGTTGGCCATGTAAGACCCACCTAAACCATCAGGCCACATGCCATCTGCTGGCCCGTATTATGCATTTTTTTAAGGTTTTTACCATAGGGCATATGTGTTCGCAGGAGAGACAGAAAGGGAAAGTGAGAAGTCAACCCCCTGGGGGATGGTGACCCCACAGTCCCTTCCCTTCCATCCTCCTGAGATTTTGGGCGTACATACACATGTCCAGCATGACTTTCATGCCACCAAGCCCAAGACTTGAGCCATCATTGACTATGTATGAGTCCAGCGCCTTAACAACTATGCCACCTGTGGGCCCTCACATTATATATTTTTATGTTACAGTTCTTAAAATATTTTAGGTTTATAGTAAAAAGACTCGGATAATTTTAATTTGTGAATTTGTGTGTGTGTTTCTTTTTTTTTAAGTTATTAATGGGAGATGCCATTTTTTTCTTAAGCTTATTTATTGATTTCCTTCATGGCAGAGAGAGTGGGGGAGAGAGGGTATTTTCAACTGAGAGTTCATGCCATGATTCTTTCCCAGCCTTGTGGCCAGCCAGGATTATGGGCCACTCATGGGTATACCTTCAGGTGCCCAACATGATCGGTAGACTGTGGGCCATGAATCCAGAGCCTTCCAGTATTGCTTCTAGTGTTACAATAATAGCACTCCTACAGCCTGTGTCACTGTGGCTGGACTTGAAGTGTCTTTATATAAGTAAAAATCAGAAAAGTGTGTACCAGGGGGACATAAATACGAAACATTTTCTGTGCTTCTCAACCTGTATTATTCTTACATTGATAAAGGTAGGTAGTTTGCTGCTTTTATTTATTTTTATAGGTTTTTGCCATAGGGTATGTGTGTTCTCCTGAGAGAGACACAGAGAGGAAAAGAGAAAAGTCACCCTTCAAGGATGGCCAAACCATAATCCCTTCTTCTCCATTCTCTTGGGATTCTGGGCATGCACACACACCCAGCATGATTTTGAACCTGCCAGGTCTGGGACTCTAGTCAGCCACATGGGAGTCTAGCACCCTAACCACCATGACACTTGGGTGACTCATTTTCTGCCTTTTAAAATTTACAAATGGCTGGCAGGTGGCGTGGTGGTTTAAGGTGCTGGACTCCCCCCTGGCTGCCTGTGGTTCCCGTCCTGGCCCTGCTGGCTGCCTTTCTCCCTTTTCTCTCTCTCTCTCTCTCTTTCTGTCTCTCTCTGGTCAAATTGGAAAATCATAATAATGATAACAATTATAATAATAATAAAGTTAAAATAATTCTTATTAAAAAATAAAATTTACAAATGGAGCCAGCATGGTAGTTAAGATGGCTGGATTCCTCATGACTGACTACATGGTTTGAGTTCAACTGGTGGGTTGAAAAACATGCCAGATACATGTCATATGTGCCCAAAATCCCAGAAGGAGGGAGAAATGGAGAAGGGATTGTAACACAGCCATCCCAAGTGAGAGGGTACTTTCTCACTTTCTCTCTCTCACCCCTCTTTCTCTCTGCCAGCACATGTTTCTTTTGATCTGCTATCTGGCAAATCAAAAGAAAAAGTAATTACAGTTGACTTCGTGACTTAGAAAGAGTAAAGCCAGAGATAAAAAATTCTTTTCATTTTATTAGGAGTTGTAATTACTAATACAAACTAGATTATCAAGAAAGGTACTCAAGTGATTTACTTACATGAGATCAATGTGTTTTTTTTTTAAATTTAACATTAATTTGTTCATAATTAGTATTGAATACATGTTTTGATAGAAAAATAGAACTTCAGAGATAGGAGAAATTCAAAAGACTTATTTTTTTAAACAGGTGTGGAAACTGAGGTCAAGTACCTTTTTGATAGTTTCAAAGCTAATAAAACAAATGATGAATCTAGAATTTAACCCCAGGTATGATCCAAATCTATAAGTTTCACAAACTGCGTTGGGAGATTATCGGTGGCTGTCCATGCCAGAAACAGTGCTTTAGTAAAGTTGTCCCTGATAGTGAATATTGACTCTTAGCAAATAAGCAAGAAGTATGCATAAGCATAGGCATTATGATCAGCTTACAAACTCTTTATATTTACCTTTGTTAAGAACATTGAATATAGATTATCACAACTATCATAAACAATACATTCATTGTTGGTTTCAGAAGGTGTTTTTAAAAGGGAGAGAAGGTGAAAGCACCGCCCATGGAGAGTGGTCATGCCACAGTTCCTTCACCTCCACTCTCCTTTTGGGATTTTGGGCACGCACATACATGTACCCTACATGCTTCTCAACCCTCCAAGTCTGAAACGCAAAACTGTGCAGTCAGCCATGTAGGATCCAGCTGCTCTAACCACGTCACCACTGGCTGGCCCCAAAATGTCCTTTCTTTAAAATAACATTTTTTTTTTTTCTGGCTGGCCCTGTTCCTAGTAGTTAGGGAAACCAGATCTCATACAGCCAACCACAAGGTTTTAATCCTGGCCTGGCAGCTTGAAAACATGTTGGATGAGTCTTCATGCATGCCCCAAATCCCCACAGAATGGAGAAGTGGATGTGAAGGGATAACTGCATGATCTTGCCCCGATTAGAGGGTGCTCTCTCCCTCTGGTGCCCTGTCTCTAATAAGTGCACATGCTTCTAGCAGATTAAAAAAGAGATTTTTTATGGTTCTATAGAAAATTGCACCTGGTTTAAAGGTTTTCAAAATGCTAAGCAATGCTATTTTCAGTGTCTAATCCCAGTATTTTCTGCTCTTTCTCTGATATCTAATTATTTCAATCAGTATATTTAGAAGTAATTGAAGTAGACAACAACAACAAAATCTATCTTCTGATACTTTTGTCATTCAATTACATTTTCTGTCATCACATGAAATATTTATTTGGTTGTGGAAGGTAAATGTGTAAATTAGTGTATACAGTGTAAAGTTGTGTCTAAATCTGTGCAGAATTCTGGAAAATTAGAGTTTAACTCCTTAATTCATCTTCTTAAACCAGAAGATGTGCTTTTAAACATTTTATGATCATTCTGATAATAGTTTAATTTCTTTATTTTTAGTTAAATGCATATAATCCTTATATGAGTTAAAATGAGTTAAAATTTCTGTCTGTATGTGTTTTCCTTTAACAGATATATTCCCCCCCACTAAAAACATGGGAGAATACTTTTAAAGATTTGTTTATTTAATTCAGGGTCTAGTTTAAACCTCTGTTTTTGAATTCATTTAGGTCAAAGGCTTACTACCAAGATTGAAGGAAAAAGTTGATCTTCTGGTGTTTAATCCTCCCTATGTAGTGACTCCATCTGAAGAGGTAAGGCATGCAAAAGAATTTTACTGTTAATATTTCTGTTTATTTTGTTTCTAAAGATCAGATGAACTTTGTGGGGGTCTTCAAAAATTATGGAAAATGCATATTATGAAAAAACTGCATGGATTTCAAAAATTTTTACACCAAAATGAACTCATACTGTAAGTCCACTTCTTTGCAAACTTTTTGAAGTCCCCTCATAATAGTATCATTCAGGAGCTACTAACATAAACTGCTCTGATTTTACTTCAGATTATCAATAATCAGGTACTATTGGTAGATGTAGGAAAGGAACCTACAACCAATAGAAATACAAACTGTGGCCCATATCTATTCTTTTTTTTTCGGGGGGGGAGGTTTTTTGCCATAGGGCGTGTACGCTCGCCAGACAGAGACAGACAGAGAGACAGAAAGCGAGAAATCACCCCCCGGGGGGATGGCTACGCCACATTCCCTTCTCCTCCATTCTCCTCCGGGATCTTGGGCACGCACGCACGCAGGCCGGGCATGAGTTTTTAAGCCAGCGGGTCCAGGACGCGAACCGTGGTTGACTACATGGGAGTCCAGCGACGTAGCCATTACGCTAACTGCTGGTCCCCCATATCTATTCTTAAAAATTCCATCCAAGTCAGGCCATGGTATTTAAATTTATGTATATACACACAGACACATAAATATACATACATATATATATATTTAATATATATAAATATTTTGTAAATATTCTTTTACCAATGATAGATTTGCAAAACAAAATAATATTTGTAAAAATACACATGGAACTTCCTTCCAAAAGTCTCAGGTTTCCTTCTCTCACAGATACTGCCATAAAATGGGAGAATGAGACCAATTCTCATTTCAGACAGGGAAAAGAAATACTCTTCCCTAAAAATAAAGTTTAATAATGGACCAAGACTAGCTTGCTTTTTTTTTTTTTCATAATTGTGTCTATTTTATTCTTTGGTGATTTTTCTCTGGCAAGGTTGATAAACATAAACCACTACACCAAGATGGGAAAGGTCCATTTGGCTGGCATTATTACTAATTGCAGTTATGCCATGAAAAAGCCATTGCACTACTGACATACAAACTTACATGAGAAGGAAAAAAGTCATTGTTCATGAGGTGAACAACAGTTAAGGGAAATGCAGCTTAATAATGCTCTTTAAGAAAGCACCACAGAAATAAATATTAAGAATGATACAAAATGTTTCACTACATTAATCTCAGTTTTTGAGAGCTAACCTGAGAATATTATTCAGTGGCCAGTTGGTGGTGTGGTGGTTAAGGCAGCTGGATCCCCACGTGGCTTAACCACTTAGTTCTAGTCTCGGACCCAGTACTTGAAAACCATGCCAAATGTGTGCGTGCATGCCCAAAACCCCAAGAGGAGAATAGAGAAGAGATTGTGGGATGGCCATCCCCTACAGAGGGTGTTTTTTCATGCTCTCTCTCTTTGTCTGTCTCTGACAAGTGCACACACACTATAGCAAATAAACAATTTTAAAAAAAAATCATGAATATCATTCAACAGTAGTTAAAGTTGAAATCACAAAAATACGCTTATTGCAATTTGATTTACTATGGCAAACAATGTGAACCCATGCATGTATTAGAAGAGAAACAGTTAAGTAAATCGTGGTCTATCAGACTACTGGGAAGGTCTGCAGACTACTGGGAAGATTAGTGAATACAAAGAGATTCTAGAAATGTGGTGACCACAATCCTTTGTCCTGTGTTCCTAGCACCGAACTGTGTTCTTCTCCCGGGCCTTAGAGCTGCTGGAACATGATTCAGTGTAGACAGAACCTTGGGCTCTTCGGCAGTCTAAACAGGGGATCTAGTGGCATAAGTTCTATGAGCTGAGCAATCAGAGAGCAGGATCAAAATACAACAAAGATGTCCTGGAGCTTAAAAACATACTTTACACTGTGAAACACTAGAAAATGAATTAAAAGAGAATGTGGTCACTATCGAGATCTAAATCAATGACCTAGAAACCAAAAGAAAAATATTTCTGTGCAGAGAGCATAAAGACAAAGGATATCACAAAGGTAAAAGACAAGAGACCCCAGGAGACATAATATGCAAATAATAGAAGTTCGTGCTTACAGAAAGTTGTTGCTTTACTTATTAGTATATCCAGAAACTTGAAACTAGGTCCTTTGGTTGGGGCCTGTTGTCCCTGAAACTTGACGTGAGTTAAAAGAAAACAATCTTTCTAATGGTCACAGGTGGGAAGTCGTGGCATAGAGGCAGCTTGGGCTGGTGGCAGAAATGGTCGCGAAGTCATGGACAGATTCTTCCCACTGGCTTCAGATCTCCTTTCACCAAGAGGATTATTCTATTTAGTTACCATTAAAGAGAACAATCCAGGTAATGAAGACTATAGTTTGTTTAACCATTTACTTTGCTGAAATCAAAAGCAAATGACTATAACTTAAAAAGTAACCTGGGTGGTTAATGAATTTTAATCACTGACAGCAGCTAATACAGATATTAATTCATGTTGAGAAAGAAAGATTTTAAAAGATCATTTTTTTCTGGATTTAAAAAATATCTTTTGGGGGGCAACTTTCTCCCATTCATAAACTTATATTTAAATACAAAGTCTCTCTGTTTTCTAGCACTTTCCCCTCAATATTGTGAATTTTCTCATTACTTTTCAGTCTTTATGCACTTGACAGTTCTGCTGTGTAGCAGTTCATCTGAAGTTTTATTATGAAAGCTATCATATTGTATGGGTTTTTGGATCTTGGTTTTCAAGTTACTTTATAACTATATTGACTTTAATCTTTCTTCCTTTTTTTGTATACTCAAGTACTATTTATATCTTTATGTCTTTAGCCTTTCAAATGATGTCATAATTACTGGTTTTCTTTCTTCATTTGTTTTATTATTATTTTTGGTAACTCAGCTATCTTGGTTCAGTCTGTTTAGTTTTTGTTTTTTAATTTAATTAATTAATTAATTAATTAATTTATTTCAATTTGGTATAGGGCCTGTGTGCTTACCAGGGAGAGACAGTGCAAGAGAGAAAAGCAAGCCCCCAAGTCCAGGACTTGAACCACAGTTGGCCATGTTGGAGTCCAGCACCTTAAGTACCATGCCACCTGCTGGCCGCATTCTATTTAGTTTTAAAAACACCTGAAAGAAAGAAATAGCTTCATTTACTGTCATTCGTGAAATGTCATTATTAGTTCTTCTATACCTTCATTGACTTTTCTCATTCAAAAGGAAGGATAGAGGATAGAGATCAGAAACAAGCAACAAAAATCTGATCACTTGTTCTAATAATAATTATAATTAAAGTTTCTGTTGAGTACAAAATAGGCTACCATTGCATGGTAGCCAGTCAGTCTGATTAGAATCCTCAGCTTCATCTTAAAAATACAAAGTGCTGAGACCAGCAGTTAGTATAATGGCTATGTCACTGGACTCCCACGTAGTCAACTGCAGTTCAAGTCCTGGATCCGGTGGCTAAAACTTACGCCGGGCACGTGTGCTTGTGTGCCCAAGATCCTGAGAGTAGAATGGAGGAGAAGGGATTGCAGCATGGCCATCCCCCCTGGGGGGTGATTTCTCACTTTCTGTCTCTCTCTCTCTGTCTTTCTGGTGAGCGCATGCACCCTATAGCGAAAACCTCTCCAAAAAAAGAAAAAAAAAATACAAAGTGCTTCCATCTGTCTGAAGTCTAAATTCACTTTAATAAACATTTATTTGGTATACATTGTTTTATCAGATGTATTAATATATCATCTTATTAAACTATGTGGGGATTATATATATCACCAGATGATTTAATTAGATTTTGACTTTTCATTTTATTTTAGAAGAAATTTTGAAAATAATGAAGACAAAAGGTCTGCAAGGGACCACTGCACTTTCCAGGCAAGCAGGCCAAGAACTACTGTCAGTCCTCAAGTTCACCAAGTGCTAATACACAGTCTGTGCTGCGAACTACTGGAAGCTGAATGCATTCAACGTGTTTTGATACTGAAAACATTCCTTGGCCAAAAAGGAAATTTATCAGAAATTTATAAAGGAAAAAATGGAAGAGTGGGACATTTCCTCTTACTCAGGAATCAGGCCTACAGAAATATTTGTACAGATGCAAGTAGATATGTATGTTACGTTTATAATTGAAATTTTATATATAATAGTTGTATTTGTTATGGATGAAAGCATATTTATTTCAGTATTGTTCATAATTGCAAAATAATGGAATCAACCTAGAAGTCTCACAGTAAAGAGACTGGTTAAATAAATTAGTATATCCATTTCCCAAACATGCTGCCATTAAACATGAGTTAGGTCGGGGGACCAGCAGTTAGCATAATGGCTATGTTGCTGGACTCCCATGTAGTCGACCGTGGTTCGAATCCCGGACCCAGCGGCTTAAACTCAAACTGGGCACGTGTACGTGCGTGCGCAAGATCCTGAGAGGAGAATAGAGGAGAAGGGATTGCGGCGTGGCCATCCCCCATGGGGGGTGATTTCTCGCTTTCTGTCTCTCTGTTTCTGTCTGTCTTTCTGGTGAGTGCACACACCATATAGCAAAAACCTCTCCAAAAAAGAAAAAAAAAATGAGTTAGGTCTGTATACACTGAACCAGAACAGGTGTGAGATGTACTGTAGGGTGGAGTGAAAGGAGCAGGGTGCAGAACAGTGTTATCCTATTTTAGAAAACCAAGAGTTGGGGGTACATCTGTATGTTTATATAGGAATGTCCCAGAGGATAAATAACAGGTAGCAGTGGAAGAACTTTTACTCTTTTGTGATAGCATTTGTATTTGCATATGATAATGTTGGAGAATAATTGTGGATTATCATAGGTGTAGTTAACCAAGTGGTAAATCCAATTGGATCTGCCTTACCAGATGTGGTTCCAGTGCTGGAACAACTTAACTGTCAGAGGGTAACAAATATCTGACTAAAATTCAGGAGCCTTTGCCTGGCCCCATACACTAGTGGGTAAGAGAGCCTAGATCCCATATGGCAGCTGTGGTTCACGTTCCCAACCCAGTAGCTTGAGAGGCACTCTGGGTGCATGTGTGTGCATTCCCAAAATCCCAACAGGATAGAGAAAGGATTGTGGTGGTCACACTCCATTGGAGGGGGTGCTTTCTCTGTTTCTGTCACTTCCTTTGGCTAGCACATGCACCCTTTTACAATTTAAAGGAAAAAAATTCAGGGGCCTTTGTCATTGAATTTTGTAGGGGCCAGCAGTATGGGGGCATGTTGAGACATTGGTAAGTCGTTGCATCTAGCCCAAACTACAACCAAGAGAGGCACCACTCTTAGTAGGTCTTTGGGATTTTAGAGGCAACATATTCCTGTGAGTGTGCTGCTCCAATCCATGTACTGAATGGCTCAAAAAAGCTCCTGGATTTCAGTGAGGCCCACAACAGGACCAAGCTACGCAGTGGTCCAGGCAGCTGTGCTTTGTCACTAAAGCTGTATGTTCCAGCAGATCTAATGGTGTTTGAAGTGGCAGTAGCAGATAAGGACGCTGCTTAGAGCCATTGCCAGGTGCTATTAGGTGAATTTCAGTGCCAGCCTTATGATTTAGACGAGGATTGACTGTTGCTAGCATTTACTGATAACTATTTTCCTGTTGAGAAAGAGCTCTTGGTTTGCTATTGGTTAATAGAGACTGAACACTTAACTATGTGCCACCACGTTACGTGACCTGAGCTGCCTGTCATGAACTGGGTGTCATCTGACCCAGCAAGCCATAAAGTTGGGTATGCCCAGCAGCACTCCATCATCAAATGGAAGTGGTATACCTATGACTGGACTTGGCTATGCTCCTGTTCGGATAAGCTCATACTGAATTAGACTGGACCCTAAACCTAGTATCACTGGTGTCCACATGAGAAGAGGAAATTTTGAACATGAAAGACAGATACGGAAAAAATACCATGTGAAGACAGAGGCAGAGATTAGAATGATGGGTATGTAAGCCACAGAAAGGCAAGGATGGCCGACAACTACCAGAAACCAGAAGAGGCAAGAAAGGAATCTTTGGACCCCACAGGTGGCATGAAAATTAAGGTAACTGCAGCCCACATAGCCTATTGTGCTGTTCGAGTCCTGTATCTGGTGGTTTGAAAATCACACTGAGCACATGTGCATACATGCCCCAAATCCTGAGGAGAGTAAGGATTGCTACGTGACCATCCCCCTTGGGGGGTAATTTCTTATTTCCCCACCTCTGGCGAGTGCATGTACCCTCTTACAAAAAACTGAAAGGGAAAAAATAAAAAAGGATTCTTCCTTAGAGCCTTCAGAAAGAGGGTGAACCTTCCAACACCTTTATTTTAGACTCTGACCTTGAGAACTGTGAGAGAAAACATTTTTGTTTGAAACTACCCAGTTTGTACCACTTTGTTATGGCAGCTTTAAGAGACTGACACACTAACTATAAAATTAAAAGCATTATTATGGATATAGATACTAAGGAATGGTAAAGGTTTATACTTTAGTAAATATTCACAATTCTAAGTCTGACTTCAACTAGCAAAATATGATTGTGTTATATAAAAAGAAACAGTGCCAGCTCTGTGACACTGAAGTCTTGTGTTGCTTAAAAGAAGCTGGATCCCATGGTTAAAATCCCTGGCCCATTCCACCTAAGGCGCACTGATGCATGAGTGCGAGTGCCCAAGATCCAAAGGGCTGGAGGACTAAAGGAAGCCGAGGAATCATGGAATGGGCAGACTCTCTGGAGGGTGTTTTATCTCTCTCTTACGTGTATACACATGGTCTATTTTAAAGAAATTAAAAAAAAATAAATACAAGAATAAATTGACAAATCTATTATCATACATGAAGATTTAAAATTATATTTCTCAGTTGCCACTACATCAAAGAGACAAAAGATATGGAAGACTGAACAGCAATAAATGTGATAGTAAACTAATACAGAACAGTGGAACCAACAGATAACATATAGCTCAAGTCCACACAGGATGTTTAAGAACATAATCACAGATTAGATATAAAGACATTCTCTATAAAATTCAACCAGTACTATATAGCCTATATTCTCTGGCTCTAGAGCAATGAGATTATAAATCAATAAAGAAAAGATAAAAGTTTCAAATTTTACAAACATTTGCAAAATTTAAAACATGCTTCTGAACATTTCATAGGCCATGAAGACCTAGCAATGGACTGGACAAGACTGGTCCTATAGTGCAGTGGTTAAGCGCTGTACATTAAGAACTGGGTCCCACATGGCCAAGTGCAGTTTGAATGCCAGCCCCAGCAACTTGAAAGGCATCCGAAGTGTGTGTGTGTGCCCACAATCCTGACAGGAAGGAGAAAGCATAAAGAACTGCAGGCGACCAGGCACCATGCAGGGTGCTTTCTCTACCTCTCTGATGAATACACACACCTAGCAAAAAAGAGAAAAGAAAAAAATTACTGAACAAGGGGTGAACTCAAATATAAACTATAAACTTTAGTTAATAGTTAATGCATCAGTATTGTTTGGTCAGTTATAACAAATGTCCAAAACTAGTGAAAGAAATGAATAATGTGGAGAACTCTTTATGTTTGCAATGGGAGAGGGGGGGTTCCATAGAAGCTATACTTTGTCCTGTTTTTCTGTAAACCAAAAGTGTTGCAAAAATTAAATATAAAAGGCCTGCCAATTAAAAAAAATTCAAACAGTTAAGTAAAAAATTCAGGCTAGTGGTAACTGGGTAGGATGAGAGGAGGCAGAGAATGGCAGGAAGAGGGTAGAAAGAGCCGGCACACACAGACATCCTAAAGGTACTGGTAAGAATGCACCTCCTACATTGGGCAGAGGGTTTCTAGGTGTACACCTTATTTTAAATTCATGTGAGCAAGACCATGATCTTCCAGTTTATGCTGTACTTGTGTACAAATTAACTAGCAAGGGTGAGCAGCAACCCTAGTAGGATCTACCCCCCTTTTAAGAGAGATTTTTATTATTGGGTATGTGTGCTTGCCAGAAAGAGACAGAAAATGAGAAATCATCCCCTGTTGGGGGGGTGAGGGGTGGGGAGGGGGATGGCCACACTGCAATCCCTTCTCCTTTCTCCTCCCAGGATTTTGGGCATGCACACGCACCCAGCATGCATTTTAAGCTGCTGGGTCCAGGACTTGAATCGTGGTCGACAATGTGGGAGTTCAGTACCACCTGCTGGCCCCAGCCCCCTTCTTTGAGAAGAATTATTTATTTATCATTTTTATTATTATTTTTTAATTTGCTATAGGCCATGTACACTCACCAGAGACAGTGAGAGAGTGATCTGGGATTCAAACCACAGTCTGCCATGTGAGAGTCAGCCCCCCAACCACTATGTTGGCCCATAGAGCCCCTTAAATGAGTAGTTATATTCAGGCTTTACAGTCATCCATAACTGGCAGTCAGTCCATCCTACCAAAAAGTACAAATTCAGGACCAGCCAATTTTAAGAAATAATATTGTTGCTTTCAAATGCATGACAGGGATAAGGACCAGTGAGATGTGGCTGTGTCATTTGTATCTGTTCTCAGCACTTTCAAAGACTCATAAGCCTATCTTTATGAGACCTTATGACTCTGCTTACTCCCTCTAACACTAAAACTTAAATAAGAAACTAACTGTATAGGGAGAACCCCAGTGATGCAGCAGTAACAGAATGCTCTGTGAGCCACATGGGAAGACCCTGAGTTTACATTCTGAAGTCTCCCTGTCCATGTCAGACATGAATGCAAGCCCGCGGTCCTGGCTAGCTGAGGCTGAGGGTGGATTGCAACATGAGGGCTCCAGTGAGTCTCACTCTCTCACGGAGAAATAAACTTAGGGAAAAAAAAAAAAACAACTCATATTTTTAAAACATTTCACTTTAAAAATACTGTTAAAAAAATCTTTGATACATTCAAAAGAAAAATTACTAATAATGGGTCAGCCAGTGGGATCGTGGTTGAGGTGGCTGGATCCCACATGACTGACTTCAGTTTGAGTCCTGGACCTGATGGCTTGAAAAATACTCCCAGCCCATGCATTTGTGTGTCCAAGATTTTGAGAGGGGAATATGGAGGAGAAGGAATTGTGGCAGGGCCATCCTCCCTTGGGTGATTTCTCACCTCCCCCCATTTTTCTCTGGTGAATGCATGATCCCTATAGCAAAAAAAAAAGCTAAAAATCAGAAATTAGGAAATGCAATGAAAGTAAAACTTAGAAGATTTATAGTCTTAATACTTGGAAGAAATGAAAAGATACTCAGTATAGTAGATGTCCAACTTGAGAATTCAAAATAAATTCAAAGTTAGAAAATAGGGAAATATAACAAAGATAACAAAAATTAATTTAAAAAGAAAATGTCAGGATATTTTTTACATAAAAATTATGATTGTATTAATAAAAAATGAGTGTGAGCACAAATGAAAAGATAGTATTATGAACACATTGATATCAATGATTTTTTTTTTTTTGGAGAGGTTTTTGCTATAGGGTGCGTGTGTTCGCCAGACAGAGACAAAGAGACAGAAAGAGAGAAATCACCCCCTAGGGGGAATGGCCACACCGCAATCCCTTCTCCTCCATTCTCCTCTCGGGATCTTGGGCACTCACACACACGGGCCCAGCGTGAGTTTAAGCCACCGGGTCTGGGACTCGAACTGTGGTCGACTACATGGGAGTCCAGCGACACAACCCTTATGCCAACTGCTTGTCCCAATATCAGTGATTTTGAAATGAAGAGGAAATGGACAGTTTCCCAGTGCATGGTTCTCAAAACTGTAGAATATATCACCAACATCTAAAGGGTGTGTTAAACCAAGATTGCTGGGTTCCTTAGTCGTGGGACTGGGGCAGCACCGTAGAATTTGCATTTTGAACAAGTCCCCAGGTCTGATTAAGTTAAATAATATCACTCACCCCCCAAAATATCAGGTCCTAATAACTAAAACTTGGAGATGTTAACTTATTTAGCAAAAGAGAAATTGTTACAAGCTGGGTTTGTGAATGGCTTCCATCATATCCACCTAAATTGCTTTCATCAGAACTCTAGCAAATGGCCTCAGCATAACTGCAGAAGTCTGCAAAACTAAGCCATCTCACAAGAAAGGAAGGAATTTTTTGTTTGAGAGATTTTTGCTATGGGGTGCATGCACTGACCAGAGAGACAAAGACAGGGAGAATGGCCATGCCACAATTCCTTTCCCATTCTCTTCTCGGGATCTTGGGTATGCACACACATGCACCCAGTTAGTTTTAAGTTGCCAGGTCTGGGACTCGAACTGCAGTCCAGTACATGGGAGTCCATTATGCCATCTTCTGATTCCCAATAAAGGGATACCGTAGGGTACTGGCAACTTTGCTATCTTGGAATGCTCTCTTATTTAAACTTGTTAATTTTTATAACACCCTGTCAAATGCAATCAGTAACACACATAAAGAGCCAGCCAGGTGGCATGGTGGTTAAGGTGGCTGGATCTCATATGGCCAACTGAGTGGTTTGAGTCTCAGATCTGGTGGTGTGAAAAACATGCTAAATCTGTATGAATGCCAAAATTCCAAAAGGAGAAGGGAAGAGAAAGGACTGCAGCACAGTCATTCCCACTGCCCCCCCTCCCCGGGGGGTGCTTTGTCACTTTCTCTCCATCTCTTTCAGGAAGTGCAAGGTATGCACCATATAGTAAACAATAATAATAATGACCAACATAAACTATGAATAGTTTTCCAACCTCCTGAAAACTTACCTGGTACTTAAATATCACAGGTCACAGTTTTACCAGTTGTTTTGCCAATGTGTAACAGGGGTGTCATCATTTTTTTAGCTTCTTATATCAGCTTCCTTACCTCTCCCCACTCCCCAAATGATGAAACCAATACCAACTATTTTCTTTTTTTTTTTTTTTGAGAGGTTTTCGCTATAGGGCGCGTGCACTCGCCAGACAGACAGACAGAGACATAGAAACAGAAAGCGAGAAATCACCCCCCAGGGGGGATGGTCACACCGCGCAATCCCTTCTCCTCCATTCTCCTCTCAGGATCTTGGGCACGCACACACACGCGCCCGGCATGAGTTCTAAGCCACCAGGTCCGGGACGCAAACTGCGGTTGACTACGTGGGAGTCCAACGACATAGCCATTATGCTAACTGCTGGTTCCCAATACCAACTATTTTCCAGTTTTATCACATTAGTGACACATAAAAATTTATTGCTTATTAACTTTATCGTTTAATGTGATCTGTCCAAGGGGTGGGAATTATCCTATTCCATTCAGTCATTCAGAAACTCAGGATCCTTGTATTTTCTGCCACCATCAGCCTGTAACCTCCAAGCCAGCATGGATAGAGGAAGAGGAGGATCATGCATGGGAGGCTTTTATGAGCCAGTCCTGGAAGTAGCACACGTCATTTCATACTCCAGTGGCTGGAACTCAGTCAGATGATGCCAACACAGCTGAACTGTATGTCCAAAGGAAGGAGCAAATCTTTCCCCCAAATAATTGTATCATGTAAGTATAATGTTAATAACAAAACTAGATACATAATGAAGGAAACTACAGGCCAATTACACCAATATGGAGGGAAAAAAAGATAACAGAACTTCAACTAAATCTAGTAATATCTATAAAACAGATGCTACACTATGGCCAAGTTGAGTTTATCCCCGGAACATAACCATAGCTTAAAAAAAAAATCTATAAATTCCATCTCACATTCTAATAGATTAAAGAAAGGAAAAACACATTATCACCTCAACACATGTGGAGAATCATTTGTTAAAATTCAATATGCTTAGCAAACTAAGAAGAAATGTTTTAAACCTACATACCAAAATCTATGCCAAGTATTCTTAAAATAGAAACACTGGAAGCATTCCTTCAAAAATAAGACAAAGATACCTCCTATTACCATTTTCATTCAATATTTATACTGAATGTCCCAACCAGCAAAACAAAAAAATAGATGATAGATAGAGAGATAGATAGATAGATAGATAGATAGATAGATAGACAGATAGAAAGAAAGAAATGAAAGGGAAAAGGATAGGAAAGGATGAGCAAAACTGACATTATTAACATATGATAATATTTACCAAGAAAACCAAAAGGAGCCAGGTGGGCACCACGGCACAGCTGGACCTACATGGAAGGGTTCCTGGTCCACATAACAAGGCCTCTCTCGACACACCAGCTGTATGTATGTGTCTCCCTGTGCATAACAGGTGCATATGCAGGTCTGTAATTCAGCCTGGCTAAACCTGGGATTGATTGTGGTATGAGGTCCCGCAGAAGGGGCCTTTCTCTCTAATGAAAGAAATAATTTTCAAAACTTGTTAGGTCATTGGAAAAGTCATGACGTATTTTCTTATGCAAAAAGAAAATACGTCATGACTTTGCTGATGGCCCAACATTTATTATTTCAATTGCTACTAATAAGATGTGAGAGATAGAGAAAAAAAAAAAAAAAACTCCCCAATGGGACATGATCATGCTGCAATCCTTTTTTCAGCCTTTCTCTGTCCCATCAAGATTTGGGGCATGCACACATACATACCTGGCATGTTCATCAAGCTACCAGGGCCAGGAATCAAATTGCATTTAGCCATGTGTGATCTGGCTCACAATGCACAGAGCTTAACCACTGTGCTATGGGGCCAACCCATAAATTAAAAAAACAAAACAAAACAAAACCCTAAAAGAATCTCTTGACTAAATATTAGCACTAAAGTGCTAAGGAATGTGGTTGTCTCTACAGTATTCAAAAATCATTTGCATTTTGATGCAAAAAAAGAAAAAAGGTATTTTTGTAAAATTTTTTTGGTTATTCATGTTAGAGGATGTGAATGTACACACGTGAACATGAGTGGAGAGAGGCACTCTCAAGAGTTTGGTTATGGGGCCAGCAGGTGGCATAGTGGTTAAGGCTCTGGATTCCCATGTAGTCAACTGCAGTTCAAGTCATGGACCTGGTAACTTGAAACTCACACCAGGCACATGTGTGTGCATGCACAAAATCCCAAGAACAGAATGGAGAAGGGATTGTGGAATAGCCATCCCCTCTGAGGAGTAATTTCTCATTTTCTGTCTTTCTCTCCAGTGAGCAAACATGCCCTATAGCAAAAAAGAAAAAAACTCTCACAAAAAATAAAAAAAAAAATCTGGTCATGCCCCACTCCCTTTCCTCCAACCCTCTAACCCATCAAATCTTGGGCACTAGCATGTATGTCTGATGTGTCTCAGGCTGACCAGACCAGGGATTCAAACTGTGATAACTGGGGCCAGCAGACGGCACGGTGGTTAAGGACGCTGAACTCCCACATGCCCAATCACGGTTCAAGTCCAAGACCTGGCGGCCTGCTTTCTCACTTTCCCCCTCTCTCTCTCACTCCGTTCCTCTCTGGTCAAATTTAAGTAAATACATACATACATACATAAAAGTTAGTAATTCTTAAAAAAAAAAAAGAAACAACAACCTGTGATCACCATGTGGGATTCAGCTGTGCATCCCAGCTGTGTGGGCCCAAAGGTATTTAATAACACAAGCAATAGGCACTGTGAAATAAATCTAACATATACAAGACTAATAGATATACATAAATCTTTAACATTTGTTTAAAAGATAATTTAAAGACTTAAATAGTTACTACATGTTTATGAATAGGAAGAGTCAGTATCACAAAGATATCAATTACCCTATAAATAGAATTAAATTTCAGTCAAAATCCCAAAAGGGTTTTTTGTGGAAACTGAACAAATAGCCGAGAATAGTTAATAAACTCCTAGATAATAAGAGAAGCCTGAATAACCCAAATCTCAAATATTATTAAACAACAGTAATTAAAGACAGTTTTGTGTTGGCCCAAAGACAAACACAGCAGAAAGCCCATAAAGAAACACACATGGGGCTAGCAGGTAGTGTGGTGGTTAAGGTACTTACTGGACTCCCACACAGGGAACCATGGTTTGAGTCCCAGACCTGGCAGCTTTAAATTCATGCTGGGTGCATATGTGTGCATGCCCAAGATCCTGCGAGATGAATGGAGGAGAAGGGACTGCAACATGGCCATTCACCTGAGGGGTGATTTCTCACTTTCTTTCTGTCTCTGTCTCTCTGGCAAGCACATATCCACTATAGAAAAAAAAATCTAAAAGAAAAAATAACACACACACACATATGATGGGTCTTTAAAAAGTTCATGGAAAACATGTATTATAAAATAAATATGTATGAATTCCAAAATTTCTTTGCATTAAAATAAATTGTACTTTAATTCCATTTTCTCACAAACTTGTTAAGAAATATATTGGGTCATCAGAAAAGTTATGAGACATTTTTGCATAAAAAAAAAAAAAATACATCATGACTTTTCTGATGACCCAATATATATCTTGGAGATGAAACTGCAGAATAAATGGAACATACTATAATTAGTACTGAAAAAGGTGAACTGATATCTCTGGAGGATATTTTTTCACAAACATTTTGTAGTCCCTTTGTATATATAGGAGAAAAAAATGAAACTGGATTCCTACCTCACACATCATATATAAAAGTCCACTAAAATAGATTATGATGTAAATAAGAAAGGCTAAATTCTGAACTTGGAAAAATATAGAATATCTTTATGACAATAGGACAGAAAATTATTTTTATGAAACATTAAAAAGCAGCAAAGATCTTAAAAAACATTGATAAATATAGTTACATTAAAATTAAACACTTTTGTTCACCAAAAAGCACTGTAAGGAAAATTAAGAGAATCCCAGCCATGGTAGCATGTTCTGACTGACACTGCTACTTGGTAGCCTGAGACCACACAGGAGTTCTGGGTTTGATTCCCAGACAATCCTAAAGTTGGCTGTGGTGGCACATACTTGTAGTCCCAACTTGTAAGGCTAAGGCAGGAGAATAATGACAGTGAGACCCTTCCCACAGAAAGAAAGATAGGAAGGAAATAAGGAAAGAAAAGGAAGAAAAAAATTGAGAGGCAATTGTTCAAGTGTAAAATATCTGTAAAATACAGATATAAGCAGATTATACGAATAATTTGTACAAACCAATGTATAAAAAATAGAAATCCAATATAAAAATGCTTAAATGGGTAGGGGACCAGCAGTTGGCGTAATGGCTATGTCACTGGACTCCCATGTAGTCGACAGCATTTCGAGTCCAGGACCGAATGGCTCAAACTCATGCCGGGTGTGTGTGTGTGCCCAAGATCCTGAGAAGAGAGTGGAGGAGAAGGGACTGTGGCATGGCCATCCCCCTTGGGGGGTCATTTCTCACTTTCTGTCTGTCTTTCTGGCGAACGAATGTGCCCTATAGCAAAAACCTCTCCAAAAGAAATTTAAAATGCTTAAATGGGGACCAGCAGAATTAGTAATGGTTACTTTTTTGTACTACAATGTATTCAAACGTGGTTAGAGTCCTCGACCTGGTGGCTTAAACCTCATGCTGGGCACATACGCAGGAGAGTCCAAGATCCTAAGAGGAGAATGGAGGAGAAGGGACTGTGGCATGGCCATCCTCCCAGGGGGAGATTTCTTGCTTTCTTTCTGTCTCTCTGGCCATTGCACATGCCCTACAGCAAAAATCTCTCTCAGAAAAAAAAAAACAAAAAGCTTAAATGACTAATTTTAAAATGTTTTTTTAAATTAATTGCCAAAAGATATGTACACATGTACCAGAGAGAGAGAGAAGAAAGAGAAGACACCCTCAAATGGGGCCTGATCGTGTTACAATCTTTTTACTCTAGTTCTACAGCCTATCAAGAATTTGGGCATGACTGGTATTTTTTTGTTTTGTTTTGGAGAGGTTTTTTTGCTATAGGGCATGTGCGCTTGTCAGAAAGAGACAGAGAGATGAAAAGCGAGAAATCACCCCCCAGGGGGAATGGCCACGCCGCAATCCCTTCTCCTCCATTCTCCTCTCGGGATCTTGGGCACGCACGCACACGCGCCTGGCGTGAGTATAAGCCCCCGGGTCTGGGACTCGAACCGCAGTCGGCTACATGGGAGTTCAGCGACATAACCATTACACTAACTGCTGGTCCCATGACTGGTGTGGTGAAGTGCTTGTTTAAATGATATTTGCTTTAGATTTTATTTTTTGTCACTAAGTGCCAAACTTAATCTGAACAAATACTGAATTATTGAGAGCATCTCCCAAAACTAAAGAAAATGAACATTTTTCTAAATATAGATCTAGGTCTAATATCCAAAATATATAGAAAAAAACTCTTACAACTCAACAATGACAACAAAAATGTAATTTAAAATGGGCAAGATTTGAATTTCTCTAGATCTATAAATAATGAACAACTACATAAAATACTAGCAACTGTAGTTCTACATCTATACTCAAAAAAATTGAAAACAAGTACACATTACAAATACTCGTACACAAATGTTCATAGAGGCACTATTCATGATAGCAAAAAGGTAGAAACAACCCAAATGACATTCCTCATGAATGAACAGGCAAATTGTGGTGTATGCATACAATGGAGTATGACTGCATTAAAAAGGAACGAAGTACCAGCACTTTGAGCAAACCTCTAAAACATGATGCTAAGTGAAAGAAGACAGGCACAGAGGTCACATGTTATATTATTCAATTTACATAGAATATTCATAATAGGTAAATCTAAGAGACAGAAAACAGATTGGTGGTTGTCATGGGTGGGGATGAGGAGACAGGCAGTAACTTTTTAATGTACTAAACATTAAATGACCCACTTTAAAATGGTTATTAATTTTGTTATGTGAACGTCACTTTTTAAATGGTGGATCTAGCAAAAAAAGAAAAATAGAACAAAAAACAAAAAGAAACAACATAAACAACAAACATTAAAAATGAAAAAGCATGGGTCAGGAAACAGCATACCACAATGGAGTTTTTTTTAAAAAAGGACTTTACCAATCCTATATACAAAAGTGCATCATGACTTCCCCGACGACCCAATATAAACATTTTACAATATCTCATTCACAATTTTATATTGATTGCATTTTAAAATAGTATTTTAGCTATAATGAGTTAAACAAAATCTAATTAAATTAATTTCACCTATTTCTTCCTATATATTTAAAGTGCCTACTAGCAAAATTTAAAATAACATATGTGCCTCACATTACGTTTCTATCATCTGATGCTTGATTAGTCTATGCTTCTAAGACAATAATTCTCAACTCAAGACATTAGGCAATGTCTAGACATTTTTGGTTTTTGAAATTAAGGTACTGCACCGGCATCTAGTGGATTGAGACCAGCTGCTAAACAGCCTACAATGCATAGGACAGACCCCCAAACAAGGAAGTATATAGTTCAAAATGCCAATAGCAGGTGAGGTTCAGAAACTGTTTTATCGGTTTCTCAACAGATTGGCACACATCAAAAGTCCACTGCCTCTAGCTGGCCCTTTACCGAAGCAGTTAAGGACTGTGCGTTGGAAGCTGATCCCACATGGCTGGCCACAGTTCAAATTCTGGTCCTGGCAGCTTGAGAAACGTGCCAGCACACATCTATCTGTATGTGCTTAAAATGCAGGAAGACAGTATGGAGGAAAAAGGATTGTGGCATGACCACACCCTGTTGGGGAGATGCTCTCTCTCTCTCTGGTAAGTGCACCACTCCTACAACAATTAAAATGAATTGCCTTTTACAACCTACCTTCAATCTAATAACTTCTCTTTCCTTGCACCAGAGAAATGAAGCCTAGACTAGTGGAAGTATCTTCAGATCTGGCACTAAATTCACATCTGATTTTATTACCTATAGCTAACATCATCACAGTAGTGAAAAACTGAAAGATTTCTCCATAAGATGAGGAAAAATAAAAAGAAGTCTTTTCTAATCGCTTTTATTCAACATGAGGTTCTAGCTAGGGCAGTTAGGCAGTGGAAAGAAATATACAGATTAGAAAAGAAGTAAAACCATCTCTATTTGCAGATGGGAATGCTCCTATATAAAAGATATCCTGAGGAATAAAAAACGAACAAAAACTACTGAAACTAACAAGTACTGCAAAATTGCAGGGCACAAGATCACTACGTAAAAATAAATCTAGTGGTACCACATAAAGAATAATATAGTCAGGACCAGCAAATGGCTCAATGGTTACATCGCTGGACTCCCATGTACTCAACTGCGGTCTGAGTCCCAGACGTAGTGGCTTGAAACTCACACCAGGAGCATGCGTGTGTGCCCCCAAAATCCCAAAAGAAGGAGAGATTGTGGTATGGCCATCCTCTAGGGGGTGATTTCTTGCTTTCAGTCTCTATCTCTTTTTCTCTGGTAAGCACATGTGCCCTATAGCAAAAATATCTCTAAAAAATAAATAAATAAAGGACCAGCAGTTAGTGTAATAGCTATGGCGCTGGACTCCCATGTAGTTGACCACGGTTCGTGTCTCGGACCCGGTGGCTTAAAACTCACACCGAGCATGTGTGTGTGCGTGCCCAAGATCCCGAGAGGAGAATGGAGGAGAAGGGACTGCGGCGTGGCCATCCCCCCCGGGGGGTGATTTCTCGCTTTCTGTCTCTCTGTCTGTCTGGCGAGCACACGGGCCCTATTGCAAAAAACTCTCCAAAAAAAGAAAGAAAAAAAAAAAAAGAAAAGATTAGTGGGGAATTGGTAAATAAACTGATGTAATACTATATGGCAGTTATGTTACATGATAAAGCAAGTAACAAACCATTACATATAGTAGGAACCATGAATATAATGTAACTACTATGTATTGCTTGTGGATACAAACACATGAAAAAGTAAAAGTTCTTAAGCAAGGAGGAGTCATAACAACTTTAGAATAACAGGTTAGTTCTAGCCAGGGAAAAAGGAGAATTGCACTAGGGAGGTGTATGAAAGAGTAACATTTTATTTCTTTAAAAATCAGAAGCAAATATGGCAAAATAGTATGTGAAGAGTACCAGGGCATTTATATTACTCTTATTTTTCTTTATATTTGAAGTATTTTATAATTAAAAAGAATTTTAATGGGCACATATGGTATAACAATCAAATAATAACATTAATTATTCACACCACAAAAACATACTGAGTAATAACATATCATTTAAGCCACAGAAACTTATGTACAGTACATTAGAGCATATGATAAATAAGAGTCAAAATAAATTTAAAATTTTGCAATTTAATTTGGGCTTTTAAATTAATAATTTTGCTAGTGGGCTTTGAATTTCATGCAATTTTAAAAGGTCCTTATGCTAAAATTTTAAGGGTTACTATAATTTTTGTTAGAATTGTCAAAGCCATATAAATAAAACTTTAATGTGGTATATTCTAAATTTCAACCTTATTTTGGAAAGCCTTTTATTTAGCATATAAACAGTAATAAGCTTTACAATTATACTTACAAGTCTTAAAGAAATGTATTAAGAGTCCTAAGTCTGAAGAGTAGTTATTTAGTTATAACTACTTAATTATAGTGTTTCATCAAGAACCTGATACCCTAATACTAATGTGGAAAAACAATTCTCAATTATTCTTTTTTCTTTTGTACTTGATGTTTGAGTCAGAAGCCAAGAAGTCTCAATACTGAAAAGGCTATAACTAAGTTTATATTAAAAAAAAATTTTTTTAAAGAAAATTGTGTAACTTTCACAGGGGAATAACAGTCCTTTGGGATTACTATGTCAGAGACATAAAAAGATAGAACATATTTTAAGAAAGAGATTAAGAAGAGGTAGTAGAATTTTGCTATCTGTACTTTACTTACTAACTCTGAGTCTCAAGGCTTGAAGATAATAAATAATACACAGAAAAACTGAGGAAACAAAACTGGGTAAGACACTGCACCTACCAATACAACCAATATAACTCAAGAGGATCTGTAACTCAGACATAATACTTCACTCTCAACTACACTCCTCCGACCACATTCATGCTATTTCAACAATGGTCATTTTACCCAGTTAATAGTAAGCAGTAATTTTATTTAATGTGAGTTGCCTTTGCCAATTGAACATCTGAAACGTAAAGATTAGTTTATATTTGGGGCACAACTGTTAAGGGTAATAACGCTCTGGCAAAAGGTTTTTACCAACTCCACTTCAATCTGTTATACTCAATTTTATTTGGTACTAAAATCCTTAACACTCATTTCTGAAGGCTGAAAAAAATAAGCTCCTCCAAATCTCTTACTCGGTATAACTCTGGCTAGTAAGGATAGCAAGATTTGCTTATAGAACTGAATGCTGCCTACATTTCAAGTATTTACTTTCTTCCACTCATCTTTAAGTTTCAGAAATATTAATTCATTTCTTCCTTCACAATGGAAAGAACCTAACCACTCTCCTTTAGGAATGAAATAACTGAATTACTATTTGTCTTAAATTCTTACCCTCTGAAGACTTACTCAAACGGAATAAAAAATTCACTGACAGGTTTACAAATCAAATATCACTAATACATGGAAATAACTCTTTCACAAGCAAAAGGTCAGTGTCATAAACTTAATTTTCTGAATTTCATAACCCCTGGTAATGGAGGCACCTTAAAGTTCAGTTTATACTTACAGGGTTTTGGAGCATGCTTTGTCTAGCTTAAGATAAGCCATATTGATAGCTTAATGTCATTTTATCTTTAAAATAATCTATGAATACTATAATCCTACTTTGTTAAAATAAGTAAGTCGTAAAATATTTGTTGCAATAAATCAGCTCTTTCAATTCATTTTGCCTCAGATGGATTGTTCTAGAATACATATCAACAAACTGAATGGGTTTATCAGTATAATATAGTGGTATAATATTTTCACAAATTCCAATTCTATATTTTAGGGATTTTTCATATTTATTTTTAAGTATACAAAGAGATTAAATCATTAATATAAATAGTTTTTCTCAAATGTGTAATATTATTTTGTAAAAGAAAAGATTTCCAAACATTTACAAAGCAATCTAAAGATAAGTAAATCTGATTTTAAGATCATTACATTAATCAAAATAATTTTTCAGAGAAGGTCCTATTTAAAAGTAATGCTCACTGGCTTTCTCATATCAGCATTTTAAGATGGATCCAAATCCAATCCCTCTGCTTGATTTACTTCCAGATTCACTTCCAATGAAAAAATTTCAAAAGAAGGTCTCACGACAAAGTGGACAAGTGGATTTGTTGCTAGATGTAAACCATTTGTACTGAAAAAGAAAAGTTTTAAATGTTAAAATAATTTTTAAAGCTGTCATCATATATACACACACACATATCTAAATAACCTTCAAGTGCTCACCTGAGAGAGAGCGATAAAGAGGGAAAATGAGAAATCACACCCCAAAGGGGATGGCCACACCAAATCCCTTCTCTATTCTCTTGGGATTTTATATACACACACACACACACACACACACACACACTCTCTCTCTCTCTCTTTCACACACACACACATATACGCGCGCATAAAACACACGTACACACGCGCGCGCACACACACACATGCTCTGTTTTTCAAGCCTCAAAGTCTGAGACTTGAACCATGCAATTGGCCATGTGGGATCCACTACCTTAACCTCCATGCCACTTGCTGGCACAAAATATAAAAATTTTTGCTCTCAAGATGGTTACTGAACTTGAGCTGTTAAATATCATTTTCATTGACTAAAAATGAAGATTTTCTGCTGAGACTTCCCCAACCACATTCATTTCTATTCATTTCACTGACTGTCTAGACAGGTCCAAGTGAACAGTATCCAAACAGCTGAATACAATTAGGGCTAGAATATTCCTCAACTCCCATTGAATCTGATATACAGAGTGAAAAACAGATTGGAAGAGAGATTGCATATCACCTCCTCCTGCACACCTCTGAATGCTCAGATTCAACTTCAAGAATTAGGAAGAATCACACCATCCATTAGATGACCAGAAATCACTCACTGCAGGGTCACAAGAATTATGGGAAAGCAAAAAAGTACCTCTCCTCCAAGGGAAAAGAGTATAACTCTTCTTCATCCTCAGAAAGTACAATGAAACTTGCAGAAATGTCAGATAAAGAATTTAGAATATTGGGACCAGTAGTTGGTGTAATGGTCATGTCGCTGTACTCCCATGTAGTCAACCACGGTTTAAGTCCTGAACCTGGCGGCTTAAACTCACGCTGGGCGCACATGCAAACATGCCCAAGATCCCGAAAGGAGAATGGAAGAGAAGGGATTGCAGTGTCGCCATTCCCCTGGGGGATGATTTCTTGCTTTCTGTCTCTGTCTCTCTCTGTCGTTCTGGCGAGCACACACGTCCTATAGCAAAAACCTCTACAAAAAAAAAAAAAAGAATTTAGAATATTAATTTTGACGAAGCTAAGAGAGATGGGAAAGCAGAGAGACAATGAACTGCAGAAGAAGCAGGAGAAAGGAGTTGATGAGTTCCAGGAAGTGAAGAAATTCTTACAATATCTGAAAGAGGAAATACACACCATAAAAAAGAATCAAATCAAACTGTCAGAGATGAAGGCTATAATATAGGAAGTCAAAACCTCCCATGAAAGTACTAAAACCAGACTAGATCATACAGAAAATCGAATCTCAAATGTAGAAGATGGAATCACTGGCCTAGAAAAATCCACCAGGGGGAACCAGCAGTTAGCGAAATGGCTACGTCGCTGGACTCCCACGTAGTCGACTGCCGTTCGCGTCCCGGACCCGGTGACTTAAAACACGCCAGGCGAATGTGTGTATGTGTGCCCAAGATCCCGAGAGGAGAATGGAGGAGAAGGGATTGCGGCGTGACCATCCCCCCTGGGGGGTGATTTCTTGTTCTGTCTCTATGTCTCTCTCTGTCTGGCGAGCGCACGTGCCCTGTAGCGAAAACCTCTCCAAAAAAAAAAAAAAAAGAAAAGAAAAAACTACCAGGAAGATTGAGACAACTGCCCCCTCAAAATGAGAATATACAAGAAATACTAGATACCATCAAACATCCAAACATCTGGATAATTGGTATCCCAGAAGGCAAAGAGACCTCATAGGGCATTGATAATCTATTCCATGAAATCCTGCAAGAGAACTTTTCAAACCTAGAGAGGCATTCAAAGATCCAGTCCCAAGAAACACAAAGGACCCCAAATAGAATCAACCCAAGAAGATTTTCTCCAAGACATGTTATAGCCAGATTGAGCAAAACCACAAATAAAGACAAGATACTAAGATTGGCAAGGGAGAAACGTCAAGTTACCTACAAAGGATATCTCATCAGGCTAACGTCAGACCTCTCATTGGAAACAATGCAAGCAAGGAAAGAATGGGAAAATATATTCAAAGTGTTAAGGGAAAAGCATTTTCTACCAAGAATACTGTACCCGGCAAGATTATCCTTCATATGGGAAGACAAGACAAGAACATTCTCAGATAAGCAAAATCTGAAAGAAGTTATCAATATTAGACCAGATCTCCAAGAAGTTCTAAAGGGAGTGCTATACCAAGAAAATTAAATACAGACATACACAAATAAGAGTTCAAAAACTAAGAAAATGGCCAACTTGATCGTAGGGACACATCTGAATTTGAATATTACATCCCAGAGTTTAATCGGAAGCTCGGACCACAACAAAAGATGGAGTGCATGAGAAAACTGGTGAAATAGAATTTTATGACTTTTGACTAAAACATTGCTGAATTTCTTCTAGGCTTTGTTTTCCAGTTTTAAAGATTTTTGTCTTTCCTAGAGCTGTCAACAGGTGCATGAACCTACTATTTGAACAGAATCCTAATCTGTTTCCTGGCTTTAAATTTTAAGTAAAGCCCTCTTGCATTTCTTTGATTTATTAAAGCTAAAACTGCTTTTCTTGATATTAAAAAATATATTTAAAAATATCTATTTAATGACTGTAGTAAGGTCTATAGCATCAGTTAGGTGCTACTTTATAGTATATTCATTCTACTCAGAGTTTCATGTCTAAAGTTAGATGTGTATTCATGGATATGTATATACCAGCTGAACTTGTTACTGAAAGTAGTTAGATTATTTAAGAAATTTTGTTAATCAATAAAATGGAGGAAAAAAAAGAATAGAAAACAACTGTAGACCAGTAATAGTGTGGAAAGAGGGTGGGAAATGGCAGAGGGTGAGAAATATGGGGGAAAATACATAAATAAATATATATACACACATGTATAGATATATAATATACATGTATATATATATACATATGTATATATAATATATTATATATATAATATATATATTTTAAAAACTAGAAATGGAAAGCTATTGATAACATGTATGATTACGCCACTATTCAGTTTATTCTGGATGGGAAATCACATTTTGTATGCTGTGACGACACTCAATGAATGAATCTAAACTAATTAATTAAAAATAAAAAACATTTCATTAAAAACAATCTTTTTTGCTCTCTCCATTTATCATCAAAATCAACTGAATATTACCTTGAAAGGTATGATCCTTTCTACCTAGGTTCATGCACACAACCTTAAGACAGAGGAAAGATCTCCTGAGAAGCAACTTTACAAAAGGCAATTTCCTTTTCAATGTGATGTTTGTAAAAGAGAAAGGGGCTCTGATGCCAGAAGGGCCACAACCTCCTCTGTGGTCTCCAGATCTTACAAGTCCATCTATTTCTTAAATGCTGAGAGGTGTATTAGAAATATCTATTTATTGAGGACCAGCAGTTAGCAAAATGGCTATGTCGCTGGACTCCCACGTAGTCGACCGCGGTTCGTGTCCCAGACCCGGGGGCTTAAAAAACTCACGCCGGGCGCGTGTGCGTGTGTGCCCAAGATCCCGAGAGGAGAATGGAGGAGAAGGGATTGCGGCGTGACCATCCCCCCTGGGGGGTGATTTCTTGCTTTCTGTCTTTCAGTCTCTGTCTGTCTGGTGAGTGCACACACCCTATATCATAAACATCTCAATAAAAAAAAAGAAAGAGAGAACCAGCAGTTAGCATAATGGCTATGTCGCTGGACTCCCACGTAGTCGACCGCGGTTCGTGTCCCAGACCCGGGGGCTTAAAAAACTCACGCCGGGCGCGTGTGCGTGTGTGCCCAAGATCCCGAGAGGAGAATGGAGGAGAAGGGATTGCGGCGTGACCATCCCCCCTGGGGGGGGATTTCTCGCTTTCTGTCTCTATGTCTCTCTCTGTCTGTCTGGCGAGCACACGCCCCTATAGTGAAAATCTCTCCAAAAAAAAAAAAAAAGAAACATCTATTTATTAAAGTGCTACCCATCTCCATAAATTACTAATTATCTCTTGCAGATTTTGAAAAACTACTTTGGAGCCAGCAGGGTGGCACAGTGGTTAAGGTGGCTGGATCAGACATGGCTCTGCAGTTCAACTCCTGGGCTCAGAAGCTTGGAAGACATGCCAGTTGTGTGTACTTGTATGCCCAAAAATCCCAAAAGAAGAAATGAAGAAAGAATTGTGACAAAGTCAACCCCCATAGCAGGTGCTTTCTCACTTCCCTACCCACCCCTCCCACCCACCACCACCATCTCTCTCTCTCTGGAGAATGTACATGCCTTTTAGTAAATTTAAAAAGAAGGGCCAGCCAGTGGCATGATGGTTAAGGTGGCTCAATCCAATGTAACTGAATGGATGGGTGTGTGTGTGTGTGTGTGTGTGTGTGTGTGTACATGCACACATATGTTCATACCCAAAATCAAGAGAGGAGGAAGGAGAAGGGACTGTGGTCTGGTCATCCCCCTGGGGGTGAGTTCTCACTTTCCCTCTCTCTCTCTCTCTTCAGTGAGTATACTCACTCTATAATAAACTATAAAAAAAGAAAAATATAAATGAAACATTACTTTTTAAGAAGTCTCTCATCAACTACAATTAGGAGTTGAACATATACTGTTTTCTTTTACAAAGTTAAATAACATATATATGTATGTACTTATGTATGTGTATATGTGTGTGTGTGTGTGTGAGTATACATGCATATATGAATGTAAATACATAAAATATAAGTTAATTTCCCTTCAGACCTACCAAGCAGGCAGAATGGAACTTTTTCTTGCATGTTCTACAGGCTTTTTTGGGAAGAGAATAGTTGAAACCATGAATGACTGAGAAACAGATCATGCAATCTTCAACACCCTCAAAACGTTTGTCTACGTTATTTTTCCACAATGCTAAGCCTTCCATAATACTTCCATTCTGTTAATGAGAAAAAAATAAGAGTTACTATACACTCAATACCACAAATGTTATTTTTATTCAGTTTCACAAATTTCAAAGTTGTATTTCTGAAAGAGAATCTGCTTATCTATATTCACATCTCTTAAATTTTATGAATTTTTTTTAAAAATGACCTTTCATATTTAAGGAAGCAAATGTAATTTTTCTCCATTAAAGATCTACTTTAAAGGTTCCTAACCAATACTCCAAGTCTTATAGTCTCAGCTTATGATTTGATGGAACTTTTTAAATAAATCATTTAGCTTAGTTCTATTTGTTAACTGAACATGATGAAATTATCTCAGCATCTCAACTGATTATTTTTAGCTCTGAAATATTGGTGAACATATTTGTTTTCAATATTTTTTCTTTACTGTAGAATGATATCACAATGTTTAATACTGATTATTTGTTTAAAGATCAAAGGTCTTTTAGAGTAATGACATTTTTCTAACCAAAGAAGAGCTGAATGTAAATAAAGCTCAGGAAGTATCCACCTGTCTAGTACCTTTCAGAAGCTGCCCTTGCAAACAATTTTCTTAATATTATGTATTGTTCTACATCTTCCAACAATATCAACAACAGTGAATCTTCCTCAAACACCAGAAAATAAACAACAGTCTTAAAAACTGAAACAAAGATGGCAGGGTCAAATCACTGAGGAATATATCTGTGTTTATCCAGTTCAGTCTAATAATAGCCATTTCCACCTTAAGCAGAAAACATAGAGTTTGTGTTTAATTGCCCTTTCACATTGATTACCTCTTTCTACTTTAGAAGACCAAATGTGTGAGCAGAAACTTACTTGATGGGTGAGGTAAGTGCTTAACTGCAGCATCCAGTTCCGCCATTGCTGAACAGCCACTCCAACTCTTTTCCCACTTTCCACTGTTATTGACCCCAGTGGGTAATTTGAAGGCAGCTGTATTATAAGTTCGATGACAATGTCCTCAATAGAGTAAGTGGCCATTACTTCACGGGTAGTAGCTCGAGCTTTAACCTGCAACACAAGAAATGCATTTTTGTCATCCAAAAAAAATTTTCTAATATGCTATTAGAAATTGAAGCCTTCCTTTAAGAAAAAGCAATTAAATACATTTATTCATTTGACATGAGAGTCAAAGGAACTTCAGGAAATGGAATTTGTGGACAATGGAATTAAATTGTGAGTTTATTTTGGTGCAAAAACGTTTTGAAATCTATACATAGTTTTCTCAAAATATGCATTTCCCACAAATTGTTTGAGGACTTTTAGTATTTCATAAATAGGTCTAAATACTTAATTTGTCTTACAGTAATTTTAAAACATTTAATTTTTGTAAAAGAAATACACCAGGGGACAGCAGGTGGTATGGTGGTTGAAGTGTTGGACTCCCACATGGCCGACTGCGTTTCTAGTCCTGGACCTGCAGCTTTGCTTTCTCACTTTGCCTTTCTCTCTCTTTGGCCAAATTAAATTAATAATAATAATAATAATAATAATAATAAATGAAATTAAATAAGTAATTTTTTTAAAAAAAATGAAAAAAAAAATACACCACTCACTCAAGCTGTGCACATGTGCAGGTGTGCCCAAAATCCTGAGAGGAGAATGGAGAAGGGATTACAGTGGGGCTATCCCTGCTGGGGATTTCTCACTTTCTGTCTCTGTCTCTGGCAAGTGCACATGCCCTATGGCAAAAATCTCCCCCTAAAAAGCATGTATGTTTTGTCACATAATAGTTTTTGAATAGGCAAATTATAGAATGGATTATTATCCCTTCTCTTCCAGAGTATCAAATACCATTTCTGTCTACCAAATCTCTCTCTACCAATTAATCTTCTGAGCTTTAGAGCCAAACGTCAACTGCCAGAACACTTCCATTTGGCTTTATGGCTTCACATTAGTATTGCACACTAACTGTAAAATACACATTGATCATCCTTTACAGACTTAATCTCACTTTCCTATGACCAAGCTAAACATCATATCATCATCGTTCTCGATCTACCTCAACCTAGATGTTAACAAGTGCAAGGTTTCCTAAATCACTGCCATCAAATCTCACATCTTTTTATATTCCTGATACTTCCCTCATCAGGCCCTATTCCTTTGCTTATAATGTCTAATCCAACCATTTTCACTAACTTTTCATTTGAACCTAAGTTCTATGTCAATAGTCAAAGCAATTTCACAGATTACAAATCTGTGCTACTGCCTGAATAAAAAAAAATCTCTGGTAAATGAGCAAATACTTTAGGCTATTATTTGAGGTCTTTCCCAACACGGCCAGTTCAGTCCTATGGCAGTCTGCTCTGAGTACTGACCTTTAGGAATCCTGCTCTACATGAATACTGTATTACTCATCATTTCTTAGGAAAATACAGAAATTACACTTTCATCCCCATGCTTTTTGCTTCCATACTACTGGGTTGTCGGAAAAGCCATGACACACATGTTTGCATAGAAAATACATCATGACTTTTCCAATGGCCTAATACTTTCTCTATATTGAATCCCTTTCCTTTCGTTTTCCCCTGAACAAAATCCTGCTCAAAAGTAATCTTTCCCCACAAAATCTCACCTAATCCCCTTAGCCAGGTGAATCGTTCCCACCCAAATCACAGTGCATGCTTTAACATGCTACTTTCCAGTTTCCAATGCAAAAAATGCTCTCTTCCCTTTATTACAATAGAGTATATGCTATTACAGGACAGGAATCCTACCCTAGTAAATTATTCACTCCCTAGGTGACTGGTACAGAATGCTAAGATCTGTAAGCATCCCAATACATAGTTTTAACAAATGCTATACCACCACTTCATTCATGCACTAAGTGATTCTGAAATCTGACACATAAGGATCAGAAAATAAAGCACATTAATTTTGTAATATCTGTATCGAAGGCTACAATTTTGTGATGACATTCACACTGACAGAAATTAACCAATATTCAAATATATTTTCTAAACAAAGTAAAAATAATACAAACCGTCATGCCATTAAATAGTTGTGTACTTGTCTGTACTGAAGATATTTCTTGAAAAGAAAGAACATTGCTGACATATTTGCTTGTAAATCTATCTACAATATTGAAAACACGCTTTTCACTGCTATTCCACCACAGCCTAACCATGGCAGGCAAGTCTTTCAATGTCATATGATAGACTGAACAAGCCAAGTGTGGAATATGGTAAGGAAGAGTTGCTGTTTCTGAGGAAAAAACAAATTCTGAATTAGTAATATGTATTTCTCAGACAGAACTATACACTAATATTAGAATTTTCCTTAGAAAGTCATCTTTAATTCCTCACTGACAGTGCTATAGCTCATAAAAGAAACACAATAGAGAAACCAGAAATCTAGAGTATTAGCATCCTCCTACATATTCAAAATTAATCATAATGCCAAAAGAGGAAAGAGGAGTGAAAAGTCCCAATCAATGCTGAAAAATCTGTCTAGAAATAGCATCTTATATTTCACATGAAAGGCCATAAATAAAAATAGAACCCATATTGTTTTTAAAAAGGATAAATTAAAGATCCTCTGTTATAAATTCTGAAAAGGAGTTTGGCCTCTTTTATTTTCTCTAGAGCTCAATAAACTGATGTGCAAAAGTCCTACCTCAATACCCCTAAGAAGCAGGCCATCCTCAGATCTCCAAGTCATTAAAAAAAATTCCTGTTCTTAGTAAATCATTTATATACTGTGGTACAGCTCTATGTCAACCCTCTCAGCTAAAATCTGAGCTTGCAGAGTGAAGAAAATAAAGTTTATTCACCTTAGTCTCCCCAACTGAAGACTACTTACTTATATACCTATAAAATGTCACCATAAAACTAGTATTTATTGAGATTACATCTAAAAAATGCTAATCTTAAAAAATTTCTTAATTCTTCATGACCTATTCACAAACTCTAATTATTTGTCCCATTTAGAAATTCGGAAAATCTTATATTTCAACATTCTCATAGCCAGGACCTACATTTAGAGTTATCTCCCACACCCCCAGGGAAAACACAAACATATACCTTACTGACCTCTAATACTCAGCTGTAGCTCCTCAGTAAAAAATGTTTTAGGGTCCTTATTAGAAAGCTCAATAGCTGTCTCTGAGTAGGTTGGATTTTCCGGCATAAGCCTAAACAGGTGATAGAGCAATTTATTCAAACTCTTTGTTTTCCGAAGATACATAGAATATAGAGCCCGGAGCTAGTGGGGAGAGCAAAGAGTGTGTCAGTAAATCCAACTAAACCAAGAAAATCAGTAGAAAAAGAACAAATCAAAATATAATAGGTTCTATTAGAATACAACCAAAAAATGAATTTAGCTGGACATTCAGAATTACATGGATGAGTCCTACAGAAATATATGCCATATTCTTACTTTCCAAACATGCCATATGATGTGGCACTGTTTCCCTTCTTATAAACTAGCAGCCATTCCTAGTAGCCACTCATTAGAAACATGCTTCTGGGACCAGCGGTTGGCATAATGGCTATGTCACTGGACTCCCATGTAGCCGACCATGGTTCAAGCCCCGGACCTGGTGGCTTAAACTCACACTGGGTGTGTGTGCGTGTGTATGTGCCCAAGATCCCAAAAGGAGAATGGAGGACAAGGGATTGTGGCGTGGCCATTGCCCCTGGGGGGGGGGGGTAATTTCTCACTTTCTGTCTGTCTTTCTCTCTTTCTGGTGAACACATGCACCCTATAGCAAAATCCTCTCAAAAAAAGAAAAAAAAAAAAAAAAAAAAGCTTCTAAGATCTTTCATAAATGGCCTCTCTGCAAATACACTTTCCTTGGTTTAGAGTCTTTCTGAGCTAAGATCATCAATTTACATTCTCCAGAGATGACTTTCTTACTCTTCCACCAAGTCTTCCACTTATTCCTTCCACACCATCCACAGCATAGTCCTTAATCTTTCAAATACCTGTCTAACACTAATCTCATGGTTTTGGTTTTTTTGTTGGTTTGTATTTGTTTTTTGAGAGAGGGATTTTAGCTATAGGTCGTGTGCATTCACCAGAGAGACAGAGACAGAAAGTGAGAAATCATCTCCCAGGGAGAAAGGCCACACTGCAATTCCTTTTTCTCCATTTTCCTCTGAGGAACTTGGGTGTGCATGCACATGCGCCCAGCGTGAGGCTTAAGCCACTGGGTTCAGTACTCGAACTGGGCTCAACTATATGAAAATCCAGTGATGTAACTGTTACATCACCTGCTGGTCCCTAAAACTAATCCCACTTTTATGGCTGATCTCACTCTGTATCAAACATTGCAGCATTCTTTTAGGGCAGAGAACACAAACTAGTAGTACAAAATACCTTGGGATAAAAATATGGATTTCTGGTCTGTTTTATAAAAGGAGGAAAACCTGGGTCCTGGCATAGTGGTTTGAGGCGATGAACTCCCATATGGCCAACCGTGGTCAGAGTCCTGTACCTGGTGGCTTGAAATGCTGGGCACATGTGTATGTGTGCTCAGAATGCCAAGAGGAGAATGGAGAAGAGATTGTGGCAGGGTCATCCCCCTTAGGGGGTGATTTCTTAGTTTTTCTCTCTGTCTCTCCAGCAAGTGGGCACACCCTGTAGCAAAAATCTCTCCAAAAATAAATAAGAGGAAAATTTGACTGGGAGTGCCACAGACATCTGTGTGAGACCTAGGTTTTTCAATTCCTCTTATCCTTCAATCATGTAGCTTGCATTTTTCATATTTTGCAGTTCTGTGGTGTCTAATATGATTTCTTCTACTGCACATCTCTTCATAGTACAAAGACACCATTTTCTGAACACTATGAACAATATAAGGATCAAATCACAGGATTTGGAATTGATTCTTTTTATTTTTTTAACATTATTTATTATTGTTGTTCTTGTTATTTTTTAAAATTGTTACAGGGCGCATGCACTCACCAAAGGGATACAGAGACAAAGAGAGAGAGGGACAGAGTAAGAAAGCAAGCCACCAGGTCTGGGACTTGACCTGTGGTCAGTCATGTAGGAGTCCAGGGCCTTAACCACCATACTACCTGCTGGCTCCTGGAATTGATTCTTAAAATATATTGACCAAAGTGCCTTCATGATGGAGAAATCTGTGGGCACTATCTTTACTGAGTAACCGAACTTAACCTCAACATAAAAGGACGCAGTGATGCGCTGTGTCTTCTGAGGCAGTACACCGAGGACACATTACAACTTGTACAGTAAATACTCTTGCTGACATTAGCCAGAATCTATCCACCATCAAACAATCAGAGAAATTCAAATTGCACAACAGTCTACAAAACTGCTTGCAAAAGCAATGACAAGAAAGAAAACAAAAGTAGAGGAATTATAGGTTAAAAAAATTGAACAAATAATGGCAAACAAATGCAAAAATGATCTTGACTGGATCTTCAATAGAGAAGATGCAAAAAAAAAGGAATTCTTTACTTCCAACAAACAACCATAGCCAATCATGGTTCGAGTTCCAGAACCGAAGACTTGAAAAGCATGCTGGTGTGTGTGTGTGCGGTCTCAAAATCTCAAGAGAAGAATGGAGGAAGAGGAATTGTGGCATGGCCATTCCCCTTGAGAGGTAATTTCACTTTCTTTCTCTCTCTGTCTCTGTCTCTCTCCAGCAAGCACACACACTCTATGGCAAAAACCTAAAACAAAAACAAAAACAAAAATGTGGTATATTCATACAGTGGAACACTATTAAGCCATAAAAAGAAATGTAGGAGACCAGCAGATGGGGTAATGATTACATTGCTAGACTCCCCACAGTAGGCTGTGACTCAAGTCCCGGGCCTGGCAGGTTAAAACTTACACCGGGCATGTGTGTCATGCCCAAAATCCCAAGAGAATGGAGGAAAAGGGATTGCAGTATGGCCATTCCCCAACGGGGGTGATTTCTTGCTTTCTGTCTCTATCTCTGGTGAGCACATGCACCCCAGAGCAAAAGTCTCTCTAGAGAAAAAAAAAAAAAAAGAAAGAAATTTAGTACTGACATATGATATGGTAAGACATTAATGAATCCTGAAAACACTATGCTAATTGAAATAAACTAGACAAACAACCACATGTGTGAAATGTCCAGAACAGGCAAATCCATGAAGACAGAACACAGATTAAAGGAGGCAGGAACTTTGAAGTTTCAGGGGAAATAGGAAGTGACTGTTAACAAGCAAGGGCTTAACTTCAGGAAGTTGAATATGTTCTGAAAGTATATAGTGGTGATTACCGCACAGCTGTGTGACTATACTAAAACACCAAACTGTACACTTTAAATGGGTCAGCTTTATGGTATATAAAATATCTATAAAGCTATGCAAAATAGAAACCGGCAGGTGGTTTAGTGGTTAAAGGTGCTGAATTCCCGCATGACTGACTGGTTCAAGTCCTTGACCTGGTGGCTTGCTTTCTCACTTTCTCCCTTTCTCTCTCACTCTGTCCCTCTCTGGTCAAATTAAAATAGATAAGTTAATGGATAAATAAAGTTAAATAATTCTTTAAAAAAAGAGCTAATGCAGAACACACATTCATACATATATAGCTTTGTTTACAGTTCACTGTGAATTGGTAAGAGGTTCTTTAAGAAGAAAGTCAAAATAACTCATGATTTAGGACTGAAGTATTTAAAAAAAATTATGTTTATTTCAAATCTAATTGATCTAATAAGTACTATTTATTCATTATTCCATAGCTCAGTTTGAGTTTCTGATATACAATTCTCTGCACATCTATCCTCATCCCAACTTAGTGAAAAAGATGGTGCAGGGGCATTTTCTTAATTTTTATATATAAAATTACATGAACAAATTCTTACACAGAAGGTCTATTACACAAGCCTCGATCTACTACAATAGTTTATAGAGCAACAGTATTTAAAAAAATGTTTTTAGGTTTTTCCCTTAGGGCATATGTGCTCACAGAAGAGAGACAGAGAGAAAAGAGAAAGTTAGAAATCACCCCCCTGCAGGGGGTGGTCAGACCACAGTCCCTCCTCTAGTCTCCTCTCAGGATTTTGGGCATGCATGCACATGCTCCCAGTGTGATTTTTAAGCTGCAAGGCCTGGCACTTGAACCATGGTTGGTTATGTGGGGGTCCAGTGGCTTAACCACCATACCACCTGAAAGCCCCATAGAGCAACAATAGTTTAAGAAAAAAAGTTATAAAAGCCCAACAAGGATCTTGAAATATTCTTGAAATACATCATGAGCAAATAAAACTAGTTTAAGTCACAAATACAAATGACAGACCTGAAGAGAAATAAAACTAATCTATTCAACAATTAGACCAATACTGCCTCTGTGATCTGATTTTACCCTCAGACAGATGAATGCAAAGACGCACAGACTGATATATTTTCATCAACATGTGGGTATAGGCACCAACTTAAATTATGACTTATAAATTTTGAATAGTTACATTGGAAATGAATGCCATGAATAGTTAATGACACTTAGGAAGTTATAAACTAAGTATTTTTGTATTAACCTGTCAAGGGATATACGAGGGTCATGAAAATGTTCATGGAAAATGCTTATTATGAAAGAACTGTATGCATGGATTTCAAAAGTTCTTTGCATCAAAATAACTCAAACCCTAATTGCATTTTCCACTAACTTTTTGAAGGCCACTCATATTTTTTTAGTCTAGTTCAAATATGATTGTGATTTTTACTTCTTAAGAGAAGTAAAAACTTGAGTAGAGTTTATAGTTACTTGCAGGACAATGAGGTCTGTGGTCTTTCTTCTTAAACATGAGACAACAGAGACATCTAGTGGCTTCTAGAGTAATTAGGGCAAAACAATTATAATGGGATATTTTTACCATAGGTAATGTTTCATAGCTCTTACTCTGAACATTGTTTTTCAAATAAGGCAAATTTACAATGATGTATTACCTGAAATTTCCACAACAGAGTCAAAAGTTGATACTTTTTTTCCCCACAAAATATTCCTTTAAAATTATTAGTATGGTACCTATAAAATTAAATTATATAAACATTGTTTCCTGTGATAAAAAAAAAAACTTGGTGACTACATTTCTTCCTTTATGTAATTGCCAGAGGGCACAGGTTCATGACAGAAAAGAGAGTAGGAAAGCACTCCCCAATGGGGCATGGAAACACCCCAATTGATTCTTCATTTCTCCAACCTGGAGGGATTTTAGGCATACATGTACATGTGCCTGGTTTTTTTTAAGTCTCCAGGGACAGGAGTCGAAGCATGGATAACCATGTGAGATCTGGCTCCCTTAATTACTGGTTTACAGGTCTAGCCCGATGACTACATTTCATTAGAAAATAATTGACCCAGGCACATTTCAAAGATGAACTACTTCTGCAAGAACTATGTGCTTAGAGAAGGGGTCAAGAAGTAGGAACAGGAGAAAATTTAATAGCAGAATACCTAAAGTTAGCCAGATAAGAGTAGTTGACTTATTTGAAAAAAGGGGAAAGGTGTTTAGAACAGAAACTAAAACACATTAGGACAGAACTTGTCAAAAGTGGCCACTTACTTACCTGAGATGAAGCAGCTTTGAAAAAAGTAAGTATTAATTTCCAAGTAAGGAGATATCCCAAAACATAACAGAAGTCTTCACTCAGTGGCTTAATAGTAACTATCTGTCCAACAGGAATACATCCCAAAACATTTTCTAGTAAGTCTTCTTGAGTACTAAGAAGAGACATCAGCACTGCTGGCGGTGACCTAAAAAAATAATGATTAATCACTGCAATCTTCTTCAAGACTCGTCCCTTGATAAACTGATAGCATTTTAGAAAAATCTTTTTTACTTTTCAAAAAATTCCCCTCCACAGATTCAATGTTAACTTTTAATTTCATGTAATGACAATGACAGAATCTGAAAGACATACTGTAAAGGTATGAACCTTGTAAGTCAGCACTTTTAGGGGCCAGCAGGTGGCATATTGGTCAAGGCACTAGACTTCCACATGAATGATATTGGTTCAAGTCCCAGATACGGCAGCTTGAAAATCATGTCAGACAAGTGTGCATACAGGCCTAAAATCCCAGGAGAGGAATGGAGAAAGGATTGCAGCATGGGTATCCTCTCTTGGGGATCATTTCTCACTTTCTCTCTCACTGTCAATCTCTGTCTCTCTCTGGTGAGCACACGTGTTCTATGGCAAAAACCTGGAAAAAAAAAGTTAGTACTTTTAGAAAATATCTATTCCAGGGACCAGCAGTTAGCGTAATGGCTATGTCGCTGAACTCCCATGAAGCCAACTGTGGTTCAAGTCCTGGACCTGGTGTCTTAAACTCACGCCGGGCGCGTGTGTGTGTGTGCCCAAGATCCTGAGAGAATGGAGGAGAAGGGATTGCGATGTGGCCATCCCCCCTGGGGGGTGATTTCTCACTTTCTGTCTCTGTCTGGCAAGTACATGCGCCTGATAGCAAAAACCCCTAAAAAAGAAAGAAAGAAAGAAAGAAAGAAAGAAAGAAAGAAAGAAAGAAAGAAAGAAAGAAAGAATCTATTCCAACTCGTATTATAGATGAAAATATCATACACTCAGAGAGGTCAAATGAATAATTAACCTAAAATCTCTTAGCTAATCAGTGGTGGAACCATCAGGGCTTACAAATCCTACCAAGCCCATGGCCATCCTATAATGGACAAAGAGTAAATTAAAACTTAAAACTTTGTCACTTTGTCCTAGCTTCTATTTTACTGCATACTGTCTATTTACTTAGCATATTACATAAAGAGATGTCATTTCATCACTGTTAACCAGAATGATAAACACAGGAAATAACAGTGCTTTTTTTTTTCTTACCATAGGACTTTACTGCTTTTCAAAAAATAAATTTAACATTCATACTAATTAATGACAATGTAAGTTAATTTTCTTCTTTATTTAACTATTATATTCATTATAACTTTCAGGTGAACTTAGGAGATTCTCAAAAGAATGAAATACTGGAGCCAAGTTAAAGTACTGGACTTCCATGTGGCAGCTGCAGTTCAAGTCCTGGACCTGGAGGCTTGAAATTCATGCCTGGCATGTGTGCATACATGCCCAAAATTCCAGGATGAGAGTGGAGGAGAAAGGATTGTGGCATAACTGTTCTCCCTGGAGGATGATTTCTCACTTTCAGTCTGACGAGTGCACATGCCCTATCAAAAAGGTGAAATACTTAATTGAAATTCTTTCAAATTTTCTTCTCTGTGATACTCTGCTTGGTACTTTTATTACCTCCACATTCTTTCTTCCCTGTGGCTTCCTTCTCCCAGCCTATAAACACAGCTCTTCATCATGGTTCTATTTTTAGGTCTTGACCCTCAACACCTCCATCTCGGGTACCACCAAGCTCTCTTTATTCCATGGTCACTAGATTTTACAAATGCCAGCTCTGAAATCTCTCCACTTACCACACTGTCCCCATGAACTTTTTGGTTTTTATCTTTTTTTTAAGAGGTATTTTTATTGTTGTTGTTTTGTTTGCTATAGGGTGTATGCACTTGCCAGAGAGACAGAATAGAAAGCAAGAAATCACCTGCTACAGGGGATGGCCACGCCACAATCCCTTCTCCTTCATTCTCCTTTAAGGATTTTGAGCATGCACGCATATGCACCTCACTTGAGTTTTCAGTTGCCAGGTCTGGGACTCAAACCGCAGTCGGCTACATGTAAATCCAGCAATGTAACCGTTACATTCTCTGATAGTTCCAGTTGTTTTGTTTTTAAATTTGCTAGACGGCGTGTGAACTTCATGGAGAGGGAGAGAGGGAAAGTGAGAAAGCACCCTTACAGAGAATGGTCACGCCATAATTCCTTCTCCTCTATTTCTCCTTTCACGATTTTTGGACAGACATGTCCACATGGCTGGCTGTTTTTTCAAGCCACTGGGTCTGGGACTCTAACCATGCAGTCAGACATGTGGGATCTACCCACCTAAACCACCATGCCACGGGCTAGCCCCTTCTTTCTACACTTCATGGTTCTACTATTGCCAGAATCAGCTGGTAGAACACCCTCTCCTGCCAAATAATATACCAATTTCTAAACAAGAAGTCACTGTTAGGCAATTCATGAACCTACCACTTTAACTGCCCTCCTAAGTTCACCTGCTACTATATCCTGCCCAGTCTTTGCACATTGGTTCATTTTCTTTTCTTTTCCTCATTCAATAAATGAGCATTACTCATTAGTCTGCTATAAGCCAGAAACCATTCTGAGTGTTGTGGACATAGGAACAACAGACAGAAAAGCCTTGCCTTCACTGAGCTTACCTTCCAGTGAATGAAAATACTGACCTACCCACACACACACACACATACACACACGTTGAGTAACAAATACTCAACATTGAGCACATCCTTAATATTCACAATTCAGTGTACATGGTGTTTCCTTAACTTATATATTATCTTCTTTGACCTACTAAAATAAATACTATTTAATTTTTTTTTTGAAAGAAAAAAGTAGTTTATTAAGCAAAAGCTTAAGTACAGTCATGATAGGTAGGAGTAGGCCCAAGCAGAAAAAGAGAGAGAGAGAGACATTCAAAGGCCCCGGCTGTTGCATTCTGTGAGGTTAAAAATTTTTTAATCTAGATTGTGTCAGTTGATCACTGTCTGGGCCCACGGATTGTTCTTATCTCATTGGCTCTATCAAATGTGGTTGGGCCCACTGATTTATTTCACTTTGCACATCAAATGCGTTTTTTTTTTTTTTTTGGAGAGATTTTTGCTACAGGGCGCGTGCACTCGCCAGACAGACAGACAGACAGAGAGAGACATAGAGACAGAAAGCGAGAAATTATCCCCCAGGGGGGATGGTCACGCCACAATCCCTTCTCCTCCATTCTCCTCTCAGGATCTTGGGCATGCACGCACAGGCACCTGGCGTGAGTTTTAAGCCACCGGGTCCAGGACGCAAACCATAGTCGACTACGTGGCAGTTCAGCGACATAGCCATTACGCTAACTGCTGGTTCCCTCAAATGCAGTTTAATCAGTTAGACATCTCCACTAATCTCCTGCTTACATTGCCTTGGAAAAGAAATTTCCTGCCCCGGTTGAGGTTTCCATCTAACAAATCTTATCTATTTTTTTTTAAAGAGAGAGCTACCGGGACCAGGAGTTAGCGTAATGGCTATGTCGCTGGACTCCCATGTAGTCGACTGCGGTTTGCGTCCCAGACCTAGCGGCTTAAACTCATGCCAGGCATGTGTGCATGCGTGCCCAAGATCCCAAGAGGAGAATGGAGGAGAAGGGATTGCGGCATGGCCATACCCCCTGGGGGGTGACTTCTCACTTTCTGTCTCTCTGTCTCTCTGTATTTCTGGCAAGCGCACGCGCCCTACAGCAAAAATCTCTCAAAAAAAAAAAAAAAAAAAAAGAGAGAGAGAGAGAGAGAGAGAGCACTACCTTTTTCTTAAAATAAAAAGATTTTACTTAACTTTATTTATTTAAGTCTGACCAGAGAGGGACAGAGAGAGAGAAAGAGAGAGAGAAAGAAAGTGAGAACGTGAACTACCAGGTCCGGGACTCGAATCGTGGTTAGCCACGTGAGACTCTAGTGCCTTTGACCATCATGTCACCTGCTGGCCTCATAGCTACACTTACCTTCAAGATTCAGTTTGTTTTCTTTTCTTTTCCTTTTTTTTTAAAATACAGGTTCAAGTAATGCTATGTCATGGGAATATCAGAACTCCACTTCTAACCCTATGCCTTCAGTAGCTTTGTCAAATTATTCAACTTAGTTCTGAATTAATAAGAATGGAATCTTGATATTTACTTTACAGTTCATCCAATTGTAAGTGCCTAGGCCACTTGCCATGGCACATTTATTTCAAATTTACATCAGCTGGTGAGATTACAGGCCCTGAAGACCAAGTTCAATCTAGAGACCAGGGCCCCTAGAAGAAAATCCAAGTGCATTCTTGCTCCTCATTCTGTTTGTAAAACATCTCAGATAATAACCTCTGGAAGTAGTGTACTTCCTCAAAATTCTACATATCAAGACTTGATGGGAACCAGCAGTTAGCGTAATGGCTATGTTGCTGGACTCCCATGTAGTCCAGCAGTTTGCGTCCCGGACCCAGTGGCTTAAAACTCACGCCGGGTGCGTGTGCATGCATGCGTGCCCAAGATCCCGAGAGGAGAATAGAGGAGAAGGGATTGCGGTGTGACCATTGTCCCTGGGGTGTGATTTCTCGGTTTCTGTCTCTATGTCTCTGTCTGTCTGGTGGGCGCACACACCCTATAGCAAAAACCTCTCCAAAAAAAATAAAAAGACTTGATTGCTTGATTGAAGAGTTTAGATTTTGTTTTAAAAGTCTTTATTCATTATCAGGAAAGGACAATTTCAATGTCAACTTGTCACCTAATCATAAATTTGAACTTAACAGTTCAAATTTAACTTAACTTACTACCTAGACACTGTGCATACTGACAACACAAAATAAAATAATTTCCCTTCATTATCCAAGGTTGGCCAGTTGAAAGAATAAACAGAACCCCTTTGCAATAGCCAACACTGCTACTTAGCCTAAGTGTAAATAACATAGCAAAACAGGAGCCTAATCAGCCCAAGAGTATTGTTATTCGATAGCTCAGCAAGTACTAACACATTACAACAGTTACAGGCACCAAATTAAAAAGAAAAAACAACAACAACAAAAAACTGGTTCCATTAGCATTAAGTAACTTACACCAATCTCAGCAGCTAACATGGAACCACAGAAACTAACTACACTTAATATAAAATTCGAAGTTGGAGCAAGTCCTCTAAAACAAATACACATTGACCTTTCAACACACTGAATGTGCTAAAATGACATGACTTAGTCACTTAGATCAACATTTATACACCTAAGACTCAAGAATACCCTGTGCACTGTTCCTTCCTATGTCTGAATATGGAAATCTTGACTACTCAGCTCATGCATTAACTGCATTATAAATGAGATCGTTATGATTTTTTCTGATTCACACCACACAACTCTACAGCTTAATAACAATACACAAAACATTTTGTTCAGTCTGCTGGTGTCTGTAACAGAGCAATAGAATGCAACTAGATTATTCTATTACAAGCTCAAGTTTTAATGTAATACTTATCTACCAAAATCCTTGCAAATGGGGGCAGCAGGTGGTGTTGCACTGGACTCCTACATGGTAAACCACGGGAGTGCTGGACCCAGCGGCTTAAAACTCAAGCAGGCATGTGTGCATGTGTGCTCAAAGACCTGAGAGAATAATGGAGGAGAAGGGATTGTGGCACGGCCATTTCCCATAAGGGATGATTTCTCATTTTCTGTCTCTCTCTGTCTCTTCAGTGAGCACACATGCCTTATAGCAAAAATCTCTCAAAAAAAAGGTCCTTGCAATTATTTTCAATGCTCTTACATCATTAGCTCCTACCACACAGCTTTATAGTACTCTTTTCTTGTATCTGAAGATTTTCACCAATACAATTAAATGCATGGTGTTATGATTAGACAAAACTTTTTCTAACAGATTTACTCTGAAAACAAAGTTCATAAATGGCTTACCAGAGAAGGAAGAAAGCAAAACATATTACTACTATGTTTTGTGTTGTCATAATAAAAAAAACGCATTTTTCTTAAAAATATAACCCAGAAAATTACATGGTCTACTAGAAAGCTTCTGCCAATCACAATACTATGATCCACTGCATTTTTTATAGAAAAATAAGTCATGACTCTTCTGATGACCCAATAGTTTCATGACAAAGTCTCCAGATATCCAGAAGAGAAAGAACATCATTCCCGGAGACATAGAATACATCCACAAATATGGGTAACAGCTATACTATAGACATTACAGCTGGCTATTTATAAAGGACTGCAATTTCTCCCTATGGACCAATACTCCCTACAAAATAAACTGTGCCTTAATTATTGCTTATTTAAGATTACATTTTTTAGGGACCACCAGATAGCATAATGTTACATCGCTGAACTCCCACAGAGCTGATAGTTTAAGTCCCAGACCCGCACCTTAAAAACACACTGGGCACAAATACGTGAGTGCTCAAACCCTGAGAGGAGAATGGAGAAAGAATTCTGGCATGGCCATCCCCCTTTGAGAGGGATTTCTCACTTTCTGTCTGAGGAGTGCATGCATCCTATAGCAAAAATTTCTCTCTAAAACAAACAAAAAAGATTACATTTTTTAATATAGCTATGTAGAAACATAGAAAATCAGTCACATTAAGAAGCACTTATTTGAGGTTTAACATGAAATTATACAAATAAAATTTGTATGAACACAGAGCCACATTTAGTTATAATATCAGATAGCAAAGGATAAAGGTCCAATTTGATATGTCTCTATCTGTTCTTTTTCTTAGCACTTGTCATGTACTAGTCTATGGCCTTCTATTATAGAGCTGTATTATCTATATTAGATTATAAGCTCCTTGGGACCAGCAGCTGGCGCCATGGCTATGTCTCTGGACTTCCATGTAGTTGACCACGGTTTGAGTCCTGGACCTGATGGCTTAAACTCACGCCGGGTGCGTGTGCATGTGTGCCCAAGAAGAGATCCTAAGAGAAAAATGGACTGCAGCATGGCCATCCTCCCTTGGGGGGTGATTTTTTGCTTTCTGTCTCTCTGTCTCTCTTTTTCTGGCAGACACACATGCCCTATAGCAAAAACCTCTCCAAACAACAACAAAAAAAAAGATTATAAGCTTCTTAAGAAAAAGAACATCTCTCTTTTTCTGGCAGACACACATGCCCTATAGCAAAAACCTCTCCAAACAACAACAAAAAAAAAGATTATAAGCTTCTTAAGAAAAAGAACATGGGGCCAGCAGATGACATAGCAGCTATGTCACTGGACTCCCACATAACCAATCATGGTTAGACTGCCAGATCTGGTGGTTTTGAAATCATGCCAGGTGAGTGTGCGTGCATGCCCAAGATCCCAGGAAGAGAATGGAGGAGAAGGGATTGTGGCTTGGTCATTAAGGGAAAACAAAGATATGTCTTTGTCATCTGGGGAAAACAAAGATATGTCTGAGACCTCCTTTCAAGATGCAATGCTGAAGTCCATGTGTGAAATATTAACATATATCTCACTTTCCCCTCATGCTCTTACATCATTAGCTCCTACCACACAGCTTTATAGTACTCTTTTCTTGTATCTGAAGATTTTCACCAATACAATTAAATGCATGGTGTTATGATTAGACAAAACTTTTTCTAACAGATTTACTCTGAAAACAAAGTTCATAAATGGCTTACCAGAGAAGGAAGAAAGCAAAACATATTACTACTATGTTTTGTGTTGTCATAATAAAAAAAACGCATTTTTCTTAAAAATATAACCCAGAAAATTACATGGTCTACTAGAAAGCTTCTGCCAATCACAATACTATGATCCACTGCATTTTTTATAGAAAAATAAGTCATGACTCTTCTGATGACCCAATAGTTTCATGACAAAGTCTCCAGATATCCAGAAGAGAAAGAACATCATTCCCGGAGACATAGAATACATCCACAAATATGGGTAACAGCTATACTATAGACATTACAGCTGGCTATTTATAAAGGACTGCAATTTCTCCCTATGGACCAATACTCCCTACAAAATAAACTGTGCCTTAATTATTGCTTATTTAAGATTACATTTTTTAGGGACCACCAGATAGCATAATGTTACATCGCTGAACTCCCACAGAGCTGATAGTTTAAGTCCCAGACCCGCACCTTAAAAACACACTGGGCACAAATACGTGAGTGCTCAAACCCTGAGAGGAGAATGGAGAAAGAATTCTGGCATGGCCATCCCCCTTTGAGAGGGATTTCTCACTTTCTGTCTGAGGAGTGCATGCATCCTATAGCAAAAATTTCTCTCTAAAACAAACAAAAAAGATTACATTTTTTAATATAGCTATGTAGAAACATAGAAAATCAGTCACATTAAGAAGCACTTATTTGAGGTTTAACATGAAATTATACAAATAAAATTTGTATGAACACAGAGCCACATTTAGTTATAATATCAGATAGCAAAGGATAAAGGTCCAATTTGATATGTCTCTATCTGTTCTTTTTCTTAGCACTTGTCATGTACTAGTCTATGGCCTTCTATTATAGAGCTGTATTATCTATATTAGATTATAAGCTCCTTGGGACCAGCAGCTGGCGCCATGGCTATGTCTCTGGACTTCCATGTAGTTGACCACGGTTTGAGTCCTGGACCTGATGGCTTAAACTCACGCCGGGTGCGTGTGCATGTGTGCCCAAGAAGAGATCCTAAGAGAAAAATGGACTGCAGCATGGCCATCCTCCCTTGGGGGGTGATTTTTTGCTTTCTGTCTCTCTGTCTCTCTTTTTCTGGCAGACACACATGCCCTATAGCAAAAACCTCTCCAAACAACAACAAAAAAAAAGATTATAAGCTTCTTAAGAAAAAGAACATGGGGCCAGCAGATGACATAGCAGCTATGTCACTGGACTCCCACATAACCAATCATGGTTAGACTGCCAGATCTGGTGGTTTTGAAATCATGCCAGGTGAGTGTGCGTGCATGCCCAAGATCCCAGGAAGAGAATGGAGGAGAAGGGATTGTGGCTTGGTCATTAAGGGAAAACAAAGATATGTCTTTGTCATCTGGGGAAAACAAAGATATGTCTGAGACCTCCTTTCAAGATGCAATGCTGAAGTCCATGTGTGAAATATTAACATATATCTCACTTTCCCCTCACTTTTCCTTTCACTGTCTTTCTCTCTCTCTCTGGTGAGCACATGTGCCCTACAGCAAAAATTTTTAAAATAATAATAATATGTTTATAAACACTGTATTTTCCCCATAGCATTTAATTAATACTATGCAGAAATTGGGTGCTCAATAGATTTTTAAATGATCACCTTTTTTACAGTTTCCATGTAGGCAAAGAAAGTGAGAGACACAGAAAAAAAGCTCCCCAATGGGACATGATCACGCTGCAATTCTTTTTTCAGTCTTTCTCTACTCCATCAAGATTTGGGGCATGCACACATATGTACCTGGCATGAACTGAAAATGTGATCTAGGAAAAATTAGGAAGAGAAACAATCTCTTGAGTGACTCTAGATTTCATTTATGCCTCACAGATAACTTTATAGAATGAATATATACTCTAAAATTTGTAACATGTTATGTTAGTCTTTTTTTCCCCCAGAGAATTATTTAATTTCATTTATCATTACTAGTTTTTAATTTACTACAGGGCACATGCACCCATCAGAGAGACAGAGAGCAAGAGAGACAGAGAAGGAAAGTGAGGTTCAGAATTCAAAACAGGATCAGCCCTGTGGGAGTTCAGAGCCTTAACCACCATACCACCTGCTGGCCCCGCTTTAGTCTTCTAATGACATTGTAAGTAAGGAGGATTATGAGAATTTAGTAACACAATTGATAAAAAAGAACTTACAAGGCTGGTTCTTCTTCTTCATCTCCATATGACTTTAGATTATCCTGATCATATTGTGGTAATTCAGGCATCAATCTGTAAATTACAACACTATTTTAAAATATTCTACATTAAATTATCCACTATTAAATCATCTTTAAGAGCAGGAGTCACAGTTATTTTGTGATGAATATATATATTTTTGAAATAACAAACTATGGCCAAGACTATCTCACTATAAATTGTGTATGAAGGAAAATGATCTGAAAGATCGACCAACTTGGAGTCCTTATTACTAAAATACCTACTAAGGTATTCTTTTTTCCTTACTTTGACTTTATAGATTAAAAGTAAAAACTAAGTAAATTTTTTTCTTAGACCACTATACCATTAATTCAATTGGATAAGTTCTTACTTGTATAACATATGATAAACAGCAATTTGCACAGGCCTAGCTCTGAAGAGGAGTAATGGGGCCAGCGTATTTAACAAGGTCTGAAGATGTTGTGGCAAGTTTGTTTTTTGGCCAGCAACCAATCTTGCAGGAAGTTTGTGACCCAATAGCTGATCCTTTGAGATATATGTTAATGTTTCACACATGGGCTTCAGCATTGCATTCTGAAAGGAGGTCTCAGACATATCTTTGTTTTCCCCTGATGACAAAAAGGAAAGAAATACGCACATCCCCAAAGAAAGTTAGTAATGTACCCTGAATGATTCAAAGTCAAATATTATTTAAGAAAATGAAATTTTAAAATGACATAAACATTAGAGTAGTCCTAATAGAAACATGAATTTCAGTTATCATTTCTTTAAATTACTTTTTATCTTATGTTCAGAAATAAAGCAAATCTTTAATTCATGTTATATGAATTAGTATTGCTTTGATTTGCACTGGTCACCGTATACCTAGCACTTTTTCAGTTCTTATCTATAAAGTAGAAGAGTATAATGATGCTTCTGAAAAGCCAAGCTTCCTCTTCTGGCTCATTTACTATTCAGTGTTGTTTGATTTAAGCATCTTAAGTATTTGTTTTGAGCTTTTCAACAAGTCATAGTCAATGAATCTCATTATTATTCGCCTTTTCGCCTTTTCACTTGCCTGTAACAGTCACCAAAAGAGGTAAAAGCAAACTGTGGATGCCTTGGGAAAAAAATTCTTTCCATTCACTGATTAGATTTACAGGAAGATTGTCAATGGTATTCAGAGCTGCAGAATCGAAAAAGGCACTGAGATCACAGGCCAAGTCACAGCTGACACAGGCAAACAGTTGTACGAGTGGAACAGAATACAGTGCCTGATTCTCATTTGTTGTCTGAAGAAAAGTAAAAAATGAAATAGGTAAGCAGGTTTCTACAGAAACATAACAAAAACACACAATTTTAAAAAGCTTCTTTCACTTCTTTGAGTATCAAAGCAAAAAGCTGTTGAAATATATTAATATATTTTACTTCAAAATAACTTTTTTCTTTTTTTCTTTTTTTTTTTTTTTTTTAGAGAGAGAGATTATTGCTACAGGGCATGTGCGATCACTGGAGAGTCAGAGAGAAAGAAAAAGCAAGAAATCATCCCCAGGGGAGATGGCACGCTGCAATCTCTTCTCCTCGATTCTCCTCTTGGGATGTTGGGTAGCACACACACACACACACCAGCTTGAGTTTTAAGCCACTAGGTCCAGGACTTGTGAGTCCAGCAACAGAACCATTACATCATCTGCTGGTCCCTCAAAATTAAATACTACAAATCAGAATTATCTGAAATGCCCTTTTGTATTTCCAGACTAAGGAAGAAAATAATGGGACCATTTATCAACAGAAATACATTAAATGTACATTTTTAATTTTCTCAGTGCCCTGCAAGCTGTACATTATTAAGTTATTTAAATAAGAAAACTAAGGCTCAACTAGTTTCAGTATAACATCGTAAGTTGCACAGTTAATAGCAGGCAAAGCAGAGATTCAGACCAATTCAACCCTAGCTGACTTCCTGCCTCGGAGTCTACAGGATTACATTATCTCTGGGTTGCTTTGGGTCACTTAAAGGTACATTAATTCAGGGGCCAGCAGGTGGCATCACGGTCAAGGTGCTGGACTCCCATATGGCCAACCATGGTGTGAGTTCTAGACCTGGTGGCTTGCTTTCTTACTTTCCCTTTCTCTCTCTCTGTTCAAATAAAAAATAATAATAAATAAAATGAAAATTATTCTTTTTTAAAAGACTTACTTATTTACTTAATTTCATTTGTTATTATTATTTTTTAAATTGACCAGACAGAGACAGAGAGCAAGAGAGAAAGGGAAAGCAGGAAAGCAAGCCACCAGGTCCTGGACTCCGACCACAATCAGCCATGTAGGAGTCCAGCATTCTTATCCACCACACTACCTGCCAGCCCTGAAAAAAATCCTTTAAAAAATACATTTATTCCCTCAGAATCTGCTTATCTTTAATTAATTCCTCTGACAATACTGACACAGTATGTTTAGAAATAATTTAATTACAATAAAAAAAAAGACCAAACAACATATCATGGAAAGCTAAAACCTGAAAGGAGTATGCTACAAAAATAATACTGAAATGAGCTAATAGTGAGAACATTTTAACAGCAGATTTTGTCACTAAAAGATGCTGACTATAATTCAATGTCTATCATTTTACTGTTCTAATAGTAGCTGGTGAGTAGAACACCTATAAACTGTTTTAAGCGTTTGCTAAGGAAATAACTGTTCACTATTTACTTAAATACATTGTTCTAATATACAGGTACGCACAAAGACCCAACAGCAGTGATGCCATGTCAGGGTAACTTACCTCCAACCAAGCCAACATGGAGCACATGAGGAAGTCCCATTCACTCTCTGCCAAAGGAGATGAGCAGTGTTTCAGAAATAAGGAGAGGAAACGGATTATTTCTATATTTACACCCAGTACTTCTGGACTTGCTTCTGACAGATTACTGTGATAAAGATAAAAACAAAAGAACAAAAAGCCAAAAAGCATTAAAGAATTATATTGACATTCAACTAGAAAATACTCCATTTTAAATCATACACACTTAGGATTTACTTAAATGTCTACCTCCTCCTAGTTGAAAGAATTGTGACTCAGGACCAGCACTTAGTCTAAGGGCTATGTCACTGGACTCCCACGTAGCTGACCGCAGCTCGCATCCCAGACCCGGTGGCTTAAAACTCACGCTGGGCATGTGTGCGTGCGTGCCCAAGATCCCGAGAGGAGAATGGAGGAGAAGGGATTGCAGCGTGGCCATCCCCCCTGGGGGGTGATTTCTCGCTTTCTGCTCTGTCTGTCTGGCGAGCACACGCACCCTATAGGTTTTGTGGGGCGGCACCCCCCCCCCTAAAGAGGGAAAAAAAAAAAAAAAAAAAAAAAAGAAGCCTCTCCACAAAAAATAAATAAATAAATAATAATTGTGACTATAAAATACAAAGGGACTTCAAAATGTTGGCAGAAAAATGGAATCAAGGTACAAGTTTATCTTGGTGCAAAGAAGTTGTGAAATATATCCATAGCTTGTTTTTTGTTTGTTTGTTTAAAGAAGGATTTCAGCACAGGGCATTATATTTACCGGAGAGACAGAGAAAGACAGAGACAGAAAGCAAGAAACCACCCCCAAGTGGGGATGGCCACACCACACAAACCCTTCTCCTCCAGTCTCCCCTTGAGATTCTAGGCATGCACACACACACGAACCCTGTGTGAGTTTCAAGCCACCAGGTCTGGGACTTGAACCACAGTTGGCCATGTGGGAGTCCAGCAACATGACCACTATGCCATCTGCTGGTCCCCATCCATAGCCTTTTCATAGTATTTATTTCCATGAACTATTTAAGACTCCTCATATATAATCTGGGTTTGCATTGTGTAAAGGAGAAAAACAGTATGAAGTTATCACCTACCAACTGAAAAGAAAAATATCTTCATGTTCTTTCTTCCAGGACATTATAATTTTTAATATACCATGTAACAGCTCGCCATCATCTATGCTTTTGGTCTGCAGACAAGAATTGAAAATCGCAAGATGTCCAAAACCTCCTGAAGCAAAATTCAATATAAAAATGTTAAGAACTGTATTGCTACTATAAAAAGAAAGTCTACTTTTAGTTCAAACTCTTACTTAAGAAGTACCAGGTTAAGACCCTTCTGCAAAGGGCTTATAATTTCATCAGTCATCAGTTTAGCCCATGAGCTTCACATGGCAGAGATTTGGTCTCCACATCCAGCCTCCAGCATAGATAGGAGAGGGGACAAGAAGTGAGTAACACTGCATTAAGCTAAACTAAGGTACTCTTTGTTTTGGTTTCTTTCTTTCTCTCTATTTTTTTTTTTTAAGAGGTTTTTGTCTTAGGGTGCTCTCCAGGGAGAAAGCAAGACAGACAGATACAGTGAGAGGGAAAGTAGTTAAGAAATCACTCCCCAGGGAGGATGGTCACACTGCAATCCCTTCTTCTCCATTCTTCTCCTGGGCTCTTGAGCACGCATGTACACATGCCCAGCATGATTTTCAAGCCACCAGGTCTGGGACTTGAGCCATGCGGGAGCCCAGCAACGTAACTGCTACACCATCTGGCAACCCCCGTTTTGGTTTCTTAGGTACAGGACATAGTGGGCATGCTCACCTCTCATATAAAACTAAAACATGCCAGCTCTAGACTACAAAGTTAAATAAGGATGGAAAATAGACCATACTATTATATAATTGAAAAATTCACTCAGTAACAATCTGCTGAACTAGCTGTTGCCACTGTGGTTAAGGTGGCTGGATTCCACATGGCTGACTGCACTGTTCAAGTCCCAGATCCGGTGGCTTAAGAAACACCAAGCGTGTATGCATGCATGCCCAAAATCCTGAGAAAGAAGGGACTGTGGCATGATCATCCTTCCTGGGGGCATATTCTCACTTTCTCTCTCTCTGGTGAGCACGTACACCCTGTGGCAAATTAAAAAAGCAAAGAAACAAATAAAACAATCTGCTATATCTGGTAAGCTTTTATGCAGGTCATGGCTCTTTAGAATCCCAAGCATTTCTCAAAACTCATCTTTCGGTACATCTTAGTATCTTCTGTCCCCAACCTTCTACCTTAAATGCCAGCCAGTTCAAACCACTGGCACCCTTGGAAGTTTCTGTGTACCTGGAATGCCTTTCGCCAACTATGTCCATATGGAAAACTATTCTTCAACTGCCAGTTAAAATATTTCTCTTTGTAAACTCACCTTTGACATTCTCAAAGCAGAATAGAAACTCCTTCCTTTCTGCTACTTCCAAACAGTACACCTTTTGGTTACATCAATTATTACGTGTTGTAACTTTTCATTGCAGTAGGAACTGCCATACAGCAGTGCTCATAAGTGTTTTTTAAATTAATAAAAAGATAAAGTATACAGTGTTGAAAATTTTTGAATACAACAAAAGTTATTCCTTCATTTGTCTTTATATGATCAACCACTGACTAGAGAAAAGCAGCATAGCTTAAATAAGCTACAGATGAAAGAGTAACGATTAGAAGGTATTTGTGGGTGTAAGTTTTCTCTTAAGGCTACCGCAAAATATACTGCAAAATGTTAATAGCCACTCTCCAGTAACATTCATTCGTATAAACTAGGAACAAATCAGCTGTAATTCAATTTATCTTGACTAGATTTGTTTTTACATATTAAGAAATACTTCTTTCATCGCAAGCAATAAGGAACTAACCATCAGTACTGCAAAGATCTTCCTTTGTCCAGCCCAAAAGAGCAGGTATACACTGAGCACTGAATTCTTTCTTTTCTTCTTTTGACAGAAACGGACACAGACTTTGAATAGTATGTAAATTACCTTCTGTTAGTGGGAAAAAACTGTTTAAAGAAAAAATACAAATTATATTTATTCTACAATATGTAGGTACTCCATAAAATCCCCCATACTCAGACTATTAAAGATGATTAATTCCACCATATACAAAATTGTATAGAAAAAATTTAGCTATAAAAAGAGATTGACAATTGTTAATTATGGATGATAAAAGTGTAGATAATTATTCTGCTGCTTTTCCCTTTTTTTGGATATTTGTAATTTCTGAAATGAGCATATAATGGGTTGTTAGAAAAGTCATGACTATTTTTTTCATGTTTTTCTATGAAAAAATGTGTCACAACTTTTCAGATAATCCACTATAACTCCCCTGCTCCATGTAATGACTTTTAAAAATTACACTAGTGAGGCCAACAGGTGGCATGGTGGCTGAGGTACTGGATTCACATGTGGCTGACCACAGTTCAAGCCCCATATCTGGCGGCTTGCTTCCTCACTCTCCCTCTCTTTCTGTCTTTTTCCAGCTAAAGTGAAGGATAATAATAAATAAAAGTAAATAATTATTTTTTTAAAATTACCCTAGTATACAGGATTATGCTTTAAGAGTCAACTGATTCAATTTAATTTCAATGTCTTACATCTTGCTTACTTCAAATTACTTTCCAAAAAAGTAATAAATTCACATTTTCACCAAAATGTATTAGTGTAACTGTTTCATAATTTTTTAAAGAATCATTTTATTTTTTTTTCTTTCCTTCCTTTCTTTCTTCCTTTTTTTTGGAGAGGTTTTTTTGCTATAGGGTGCATGCGCTCTCCAGAAAGACAGAAACAGAGAGACAGAAAGTGAGAAATCACGTCCCGGGGAGATGGCCATGCTGCAATCCCTTCTCCTCCATTCTCCTGTCAGGATCTTGGGCACGTACACACACGTGCCCAGCATGAGTTTAAGCCACCAGGTCCAGGACATGAACCGCGGTTGACTACATGGAAGTCAAGCTACAAAGCCATTATGCCAAGTGCTGGTCCCCCTTTCCTTCTTCCAATTTGACCAGCAAGGGACAGAGTGAGAGACAGAAAGAAAGAGAGAGAAGGGGAAAGTGGGAAAGCAAGATGCCAGGTCTGGGACTCAAACAGCGGTCAGCCATGTGGGAGTCCAACGCCCTTAAACACCATGCTGCCTGCCAGCCTCAGTGTGACTGTTTTGTTGTACACTTCAGTCTTTTTAATTTCTGGTAATATGGTCAATAAATTTGCTGCTTTTAATGTGTACTTCTGCCACTGAGTAAGGCAATTTCTTCCTTTTTTTTCTTTCTTAACCTCCTCTCTTCCTCTCCTCTCCTTCCCCCCTTCCCTTTACTTTCTTCCTTTTTTCTTTCTTTCTTTCTTTTCATTTGCTATTATTATAATACTTTTATAGACCTTTAATTGGCTTCTAGCTTTTATCTGGGCTTTTTTTGTATAATATAAAAAGGTGACCAATTTTCCCATCATCATTTATTACTGATTTACTTCTGACATGAAACACCACTTGCATCAAAAACTAAGTTCACAAATATGTGTACATTGGTGTCTGGACTCTAAATATCAAGTCATTGATATGTCTAGTCTCCAATTTCACAATCTAATTACTGTACTAGTACATCCTATATTTGGAAGAAGTTCCTTTCACTTTTTTGTTCAAAAATTCCCTAGTTGTTCTTGAACACAGTTTCCTTCAAATATGTCTTTTGTTTAGAACAAAATTTGTATTAAGTTTTTCAAAAATTATTTTTTTCTTGAAAGAAGACTTTTTCTATACAGCACATGTGCTTGCCAGACAGAGACAGAGGACAGAAAGCGAGAAATCACCTCTCCAGACAGATGGAGGACAGAAAGCGAGCAATTGCTTCTCCTCCATTCTCCTCTCAGGATCTTGGGCATGCCCGCTCACATGCCCGGCCTGAGTTTTAAGCGGCTGGGTCCGGGACGCTAACCGCAGTCCACTATAAGGGAGTCCAGCGATGCAATCAGTATGTCATCTGTTGATCTCTTTTCAAACTTAATTTCTAAAATTTTACTTAAGATTGTATTAAAATTACATTGATACAAACATGTTTATCAATTGTATTCCCACCTTTTTTGTCATCTTTATTAAAGTTGAGTAAGTATAAAACTTTTGTTAAATGTATGGTGCTGGCAGGTGGCGTGGTAGTTAAAGGTGCTGGATCCCCACATAGCCAACTGCTGTCGCGTTTTGGACCTGGCAGCTGACTTTCTCATTTTCTCTTTCTCACTTTCTGTCCTTCTCTTTTCAAACTGAAATAAACAAATGAATAAAATTAAATGAAATTTTTTTTAAAAAAATGAACTTTTGTTAAAAGTATTTCCAGGTATTTACAGTTTTGTTGTTACTGTGAATAGACTCTCTTTTCCCATACCATGATTTTAATGGCTATAACTGGCAAATAAAAAAGTTATTGGTTCTTGTATGTTAAATATTGATCTCATTAGTAGTGAAAATGCCAGTATCAAAAAGTTACGTATTTTATTATTTTCTTTAAATAATATTTTTCTTTTATGATTATTCATTTTTAAAATTAATTAATAAATTTATACTCATTCCCTGAGGATTGTCACAGCATACAAAATGTGATTTCCCATCCAGAATATACAGCATAGTGGCTCCAACCCTCCTCCCACACTATCTCAGGTGTCTACAGTTATTTTCCATTCCTTCCCCCACACACACATTTTATTGATTCACAAAATTTCTTAAATAATCTAACTACTTTGAATAGCAAGTTCAGCTAGCATATACATATCTGTGAATACATGTCTGACTTTAGGTGTGAAACTCTGAGCAGAATGAATATACTATAAAGTAGCACCTAGTTGAAACTATATACCTTACTACGGAAATTGTATTTATAGTTTTAAGAAAAGCAGTTCTAGCTTTAATAAATCAAAGAAATGCTAAAGAACCTTGCTTAAAACTTAAAGCCAGAAGGTTAAGATTCTGTTCAAATAGTAGGTACATGAACCTATCAGCAGCTCAAGACATGACAAAAATTCGTAAAACCGGAAAACAAATCCTAGAAGAAAATCAGCAACGATTTAGTCAAAAGTCATAAAATTCTATTTCACCAGTTGAGTCTCATGTACTCTCTTTTGTTGTGGTCCAAGCTTCCTGATTAAACTCTGGGATATAATATTCAACTTCAGACTTGTCCCTACGATTAAGTTGACCATTTTCTTAATTTTTGAACTCTTATTTCTGTGTGTCTGTATTTAATTTTCTTGGTATAGCACTCCCTTGGGAACTTCTTGGAGAGTTGGTCTAGTGCTGGTAAATTCTTTCAGGTTTTGTTTATCTGAGAATGTTCTTGTCTTGTCTTCCCATATGAAGGATAATCTTGCCGGATACAGTATTCTTGGCTGAAATTGCTTTTCCCTTAACACCCTGAATATATTTTCTCATTCTTTCCTTGCTTGCATTGCTTCCAATGAGAGGTCCACTGTTAGCGTGATGAGATATCCTTTGTAGGTAACTTGACATTCCTCCCTTGTCAATATTAGTATGTTGTCTTTGTCTGTGGTTTTGCTCAATCTGGCTATATGTCTTAGAGAAGATATTCTTGGGTTGATTCTATTTGGAGTCCTTTGTGTTTCTTGGGACTGGATCTTTGAATGCCTTTCTAGGTTTGGAAAATTTCTTGCAAGATTTCATGGGATAGATTATCAATGCCCTATGAGTCTCTTTGCCTTCTGGCATACCAATTATCCAGATGTTTGTACGGATGTTCGATGCTATCTAGTATTTCTCGTATATTATTCTCATTTTTGGGGTCATTTTCTCAGTCTTTGAGGTGAATTTTTCTAGGCCAACAATTCTATCTTCTACATCTGAGATTTGATTCTCTGTATGATCTAGTCTGCTTTTAATACTTTCAAGAGAGATTTTGACTTCTTGTATTTAGCCTTCATCTCTAACAGGTCCATTTGATTCTTTTATATACTGTGTATTTCCGCTTTTAGATCTTGCAAGAATTTCCTCAACTCCAGGAACTGGTCAGCTCTTTTCTCCTGTCTCTTCTCTAGTTCATTGTCTCTCTTCTCTTCCATCTCTGATAGCTTTGTCACTATGAATATTCTAAATTCTTTTTTTTTTTTTGAGAGATTTTCGCTATAGGGCATGTGCGCTCGCCAGACAGACAGAGAGAGACATAGAGACAGAAAGTGAGAAATCATCCACCAGGGGGGATGGTCACGCCGCAATCCCTTCTCCTCCATTCTCCTCTCGGGATCTTGGGCACGCACGCACACGCGCCCAGTGTGAGTTTTAAGCCACCGGGTCCGGGACACAAACCGCGGTCGACTACATGGGAGTCCAGCGACATAGCCATTACGCTAACTGCTGGTTCCCAATATTCTAAATTCTTTATATGGTATTTCCATAAGTTTCATTGTACTGTCTGGGAATAAAGAGGAGTTATACTTTTCCCTTGGAAGAGAGGTATTTTCTTGCTTTCCCATTATTTCTTGTAGCCTTGCAGTGATTTCTAGTCATCTGATGGATGGTGCATTTCTTCCTAATTCTTGAAGTTCAATCTGAGCATTCAGAAGCGTGCAGGAGGAAGTGATCTGCTATCTCTCTTCCATTCCATTTTCGCTTTGTACTTCAGATTCAGTGGGAATAGAGAAATATTCTGACCTTAAACATATTCAGATGTTTGGATCTTGTTCATTTGGACCTGTCTAAACACTTAGTGAGAAGAGGCTGAGAAGCCAACGAATAAAGATAAAGAAAAAAGGAAAAGAATTAGAGAAGAGGAAAGAAGAAAATATAAAATTTAAAAAAAAGAAAGAAAAAAAGGTGATAAAAAAAACTATAGATTTTAGTTGGCATAATGGCTATGTCGCTGGACTCCCATGTAGTCAACTGGTTTGAGTCCCGGACCCAGTGGCTTAAACTCAAGCCAGGCGTGTGTGCATACGTGCCCAAGATCCCAAGAGGAGAATAGAGGAAATGGGATTGTGGCGTGGCCATCCTCCTGGGGGGTGATTTCTCACTTTCTGTCTTTCTAGCTCTCTCTGTCTTTCTGGCAAGCACATGTGCCCTATAGCAAAAGCCTCTCCCCCCAAAAAAGGCAAAAAATGAAAACCACATGGTATTTCACAGCTCAAGTTTGGTATCCATCTCATGATGGGCCTGGGCTGGGTTTGTGTCTTTCCTAAATGGAATGAGGAAAGGCACCAATTACCACAATAAAGGAGAGGCTTGAGAGCCCAGAGAATACTTTATTTAAAAAAACAAATTTTTTTTTAATTGAAAGACAGGGAGAGACAGAGAGAAATGAAGAAAAGGAGACAGAGGTAACCCTACCCACTAGAAATAAATCTAGAGAGAGAAGTCTCAGCAGAAAAATCTTTATTTTTAGTCAAGGAAACCAATATTTCACAGCTCAAGTTCAGAATTTATCTTAGCGAGATTATTCATTTATATCCTCCATGAGAGACAGAGACAGACTCAGACAGAGAGAAAGAGAGACAAGGAGGGTGGGAGAGAGGCAGGCACATTCAATGATCCACCCCAGCCCCAGCTAGTCAGGATCTTGAAAATGTACATGCATGTCTACTATGTACTGAGAGACCTCAGGAACCTATGCCCTTTCCCTGTGGCCTCAGCATCATGGAGCGGTGTATTACTGCTGCACTGTGAAGCTGGCCTATATAACATTGTTGAATGGCATCGTCACAGAGATGGAGAATGGATTAGTGGCTGCCATGGATGTGGAGAGTGGGAAAAAGGGAGGTGGTTGAGGCTATAGGAGGGTAACACAGTGATCCTTATGATGAAACCATTCTGTATACCTTGCTTTCCTTTGGTGATTGGCATATGTGTTAGCTATGTAGAATACACTGACACTCATGTACTATGTCTCTGTATTTCTCTCTCTCTCACTCACACACACACACACACATGTGCATTTGTACCTTGAGAATGAATTAATATCATTTTCTTAGTTATGATATTATAGCAGTTATGCAAAATGGTACCACTAAAAAGAGCTAGATACAGGATGTGTGCATTGTCCATTATATTAGGTCATGTGCCTTAACCACTATACCACCTTTTGCACCTATTACTATTATTTCTTACAATAATATAGATAATTAAAGTCTATATGTGAATCTGCATGTGATCTACAGTTACCTCAAAATAAAAAGTTATCAAAAATTTTTAAATAAGATTTAAAATACCAAATTTTGGAGTCAACAGATGGCATTGTAGTTAAGGCAGCTGAACTCCCACGTGGCTGGAGTTCTGGACCTAGTGGCTTCAAAATCATGCCAGGAGCGTGTGCATATATGCCCAAAATCCCAAGAGGGGAATGCAGGAGAAGAGACCATGGTGTAGCTATCTCTTCTTGGGGGGTGATTTTTTATTTTACCTCTTTCTGTCTCTCTCCAGCAAGTGCAGGCACCACATGGCAAAAACTAAAACAAGAACCAAAAGAAAAAAACCATAAAAACAAATTATAGACAAGAATTCTAGCATGATGTAGCCAGTGGGTGGCACAGTGGTGCTGGACTCCCACATGGATGCTCACAATTTGAGTCCTAGTCCTAGCAGGTTCTTTTCTCTCTCTCTCTCTCTCTGTTTCTCTCTCTGGCTCCCTCTGATGAGTACATGTGCACTTTAGCAAGTTAAAAAAATATTAATAATAAAAAAAAAATCATTATTTTAAAAAAGAGAATTCTACCATGCTAGAATATACACTTATATTCATGTCATTTCAGAATCTTTCCTGGTAGATTAGTCAACTCAGAATGCTTCTTTATAGATCTCAGCTAAGTATCAATTAAAATGCTGAGCTTTGCTAGCACGTGTATCCAACAGTCTACTTCTTGTCTTAAAAGCACATTTATTCAATTCCTAGCACATACTTCAATAGGATGATCTTTATTTAAGAGAATAGTATCTAACT